TCATGACGACGTATCAACAATATATAATACTTATTTTAGCATAAATTTAATGGGAATAAAATATATATATCATAACTAAATTTAAATCTGTATATTTTGATCTTTTTCTTTTCATTTAATTGATAAAATTCTTAGAAATATGCTAAGTTCCTGTGATTATAAACAAAAACATTTTAATATCTTTCGCTAGAGAAAAAAAAAAAAAGCTAGTGGTGGAAGCAGTCATTTTCACCCTTTATTTAAAGGGAATCATAAAAAGAGAAAAAACAAAGTTTCATCATCATAATCTCTATTGGTTAATCATGCTCTTACTAAAGATTAAAAATCATTTTTAAATATTATCTTCTCTACATGATCAACTTGGTCATTGTCCTGATAAGAAGAGAAGAGAGATCAACACAACAAGTTAGAAGAACTTCAAAGGTCAATGGCTTGCAAATGGGTCAATCAATTTTAATTAGGCATCAAACAAATAGGTTGATAGAAAATGCATGTATGATGTTGGGTGATGATGGGTCTGTCATCTTGATCGTTTTCTTTATGCAGGACGGTAGATAGATAAGTTATCGGCCTCCGAAGTTATCATCTTACGAATACAAATGTTAGATGTTTAGGGATACAAATGTTAGATGTTGGTCAATGATATATGATGAAATAACGATAAAAAAGGAACACAGCAAATCGACGATGGTGGATGCAACTCTTACATACTAGTCAATCTCTCATCTATCTAAAATAAAGTTAGACTTCGTTTGGGACAACATTTTGGCTAATGCTTTTTATTGTTTTCAAAAAAATTGAATACTAAAAGGGGCCAAATTTTAGAAGGAAGCACACTATTTGCTAAAATTTGTTTTAAGGAGTACATTTTTAAAAAATCTAAAAAGGAGCAAAGTGAATACGCCAAATGATTTGGCCTATTCAAAATATACCAAAATGATTTGGTGTATTCAGTTTAAACTAAAAAAAATCAAGTGACATGGGGAGAGAGAATATGGCCTACTAAAAGGCTACTTTAGAAAACAATAAGAAAGTTGTTCCAAACGAAGCCTAGGCTTCATTTGGGACGGCTTTCGTGCTGCTTCTTAATGCAGCTTTTTAATATAAATTTTTAAATTTTTATACTAGAAAGTTGTTTTAAGAATTAGTAAAAATGCTGTCACAAACAATGTCTTAGGCTTCGTTTGGGACAACTTTCGTGTTGCTTTCTAAAACGGATTTATAATATAAAAAAGATCAAATTTAAAAAATTTTGTAATAGAAAATTATTTTTAGAAAGCAAGAAGAAAATCATGCATCCCAAAAAAAATCTTAATCTTTAATTATTCTTGAAAGTTTTACATACTGAAAATGAAATTCAGATGATCACAAAGTTAATTTTCTGAATTTAAAGTCAAATATCTGCATGCTTTCATATCTAAAAATATGACAATAATTAAAAAAAAAACATAAAGAAATACAAAAAAAATTTGGTATCTCGGTGTTTTAGACTTGCAAGAACAAAATTGCACTGTTAAATCGATGAAATTAAGAAAAAAAAAATAGTGACCAAAATAGCAATGCCACATATTTGATATTTCATATTTAAAGCTATTGCATGCGCTAAAAAAAAAAGTCTAATGTGACTTATTTTTTAATAGAAAATATAAAAGTTTCGTCCCATTTTTCACTTCATCTTTGTATTTATCTTTCTGAAACTCTTCTCTGTATCGATCATTACTAATACAAAAAACAAGCATTTTGATCAAATTAATCCCTTTCCAACATTAGAATTAATAGTTTCCTCCGTCAATTTCATCGCTTTATTTACAGTATGTATATGTTTGAGAATTCTGATAGAAGTTCTGATTTTTTTTTAATAGAAGTTTTGATTGTTTTTTTCTTTTAGGTTATAATAGGTTTGCTATCTACCTCTGATAAATTCTTTTATTCTTATGTATATGATATTCTTACGTTTGAAATTATTTTTTTTTCTGATTTTTAAAACAGCTTTTTAGTATAAACATTTTAATTTTTGTACTAAAAAATTGCTTTATGAAGCATTAAGAACTTTCTTACTATATTTTTCAAATTGAATCATAATTTATATTTGGCCAATGCTTTTTCGTTGCTTTCAAAAAATTTTTGTGATAGAAAGTTGCTTTCTATTGTTATGGAAAGATTTTATTGATTTTATTGGCTATCCAATTATGTTATTACATCATTAATTAGGTTATCCAATTATGCCATTGATTCGGAGATCTAATTATGACATGGATTATATTTTCCTTACTAATTTTTATTTCAAATCTATATATGAGATTTGAGGGCTGCTATAATGGGAGGAAGAGTGTAATTGTAACATTTTTTCTCCATAATAATGAAACCATTTCCTCCTCGTGCATGTAAGCATTTCTTCGTCAAATCATGTAAATCGCATCGTGTTCATTGAGTTTGGTTGTGTGATTAATATATTTCATTGTTTATGTGCACAACATCTACAACATTTTTTAAAAATTTTATTTTCTTCGCAACAACTTTATAAATAATTTTATATAGAACTGCAACCATCCCAAATGGGACAGAATCACTCTTCTATTATTAGGTCCGGTGACCGGACGTAGCTCTACGTCCGGTCACCACTGAGTTGCCCGGTATTTGCTCGGTATTGCTTGTCAATAACGAGAAATACCGCTCTGTGAAGACCAATACCGAGTAATACCGAGCAATACCAAGTTTTTATAGAAAAAACTCGGTATTGCTCGGTGTTACTCGGTATTACTCGGTACTGCTCGGTATTTGTTTTTACATAATGGTATTTCTCGTTATTGCCGAGCAAAATTGTCAAAAACGTGGTTTTGTGCCTGCTATGTGGAGCGATTTAGTGCCGGCCGAACGTAGCTCTACGTCCTTTCACCGGACCAAATAAAAGTTTTCGTTTGGGACGGCTTTCTTACTACTTCTTAAAGCAGCTTTCTAATAGAAAAATTAAAATTTTTGTACTAAAAAATTGTTTTAAAAAGTAATAAGAAAACTGTCTCAAACGAAGCCTAAGAGTCTAACTGACCAAATGATGTGCTAAACAAACAAGTGACATCTCCCAAGGAGATGCGAAAAAAGTAGTCAACATTTTGACAAGTTGAAATATTCTGTAACTCAGTAAGGAAGAAGAAGGCCATCAAACTATTACAGATTGGTCAGATCAAACCCGATGCACATTAACATAATCCATTATATTTTGAATTGGCAAAGGATTTGAGCTAATCTACCCCACCTATCTACCTGTCAGACCCATTCTGGCCCAGACACTTAAAAGTAGGGGTGTCTTTTTTTTTAACTGTTTAAGTGAATTAAGGCTTTGTTTAGGACAACTTTTGTAATGATTTTAAACCAGTTTTTTAGTAAAAAATTTCACAAAAAATTTTTGTATTAAAAAAATGTTTTAGAAAGCAAGAAGAAAGATGTCTCAAACTAAGCCTAAGTCAAATTTATACAGATATAACATATGTGAGACTAAAATTCAAACCTCTTACTTATAGTCAAAACTTTCAACTAATAATAAGTTGCTCTGTTGGCTATGTTAGACTAGTTAGACTAGGTGGAATATTAATATTTTCTAAAAATATCACATGTAAGCAATAACTTTTACAACTACAGCTGGGGCCTGAGCATGTGGGCAAATTATTGGGTCAGGTGACCGAACGCAGAGATAGGTCCGGATATTAATAAAATATTATTTTTAAATTTAGCGCAAGTAAAGCGCAGGTAAAACACAACTAAAGCGCAGGTAAAGCGTAACTAAAGCGCAAGTCAAAAAGCGCAGGTAAAGCACAAGTAAAGCGCAACAAAAGCACAAGTCAAAAGCGCAAGGTGACGCGGCAAATTTTTATTGGATGTCCGAACTTATTTTTCGCCTCCGGTCACCTGACCCAATAATTTGCCTAGCACGTGAGAAGCATTTCCTGTCTAGCTATATCTGGTTCCATTTTTGTCTACCTCTCATGCATAGGGTGAGGCAGGCCAGCTTTTAAGTTGGCTCGAGTTCAGCTAGGTAAATGATTTGTAAGTTAAACTTGGTGTGCTAGCGAGTTAAGCTCGAGGAGTCGACTCGAGGTAGACTCAACTCAAATCATTAGCTCACGGGTTGACTTGCTTTAAAATTTTTAATGTAACATACACTTAAAATATATTAGAATTTACGAGCTCAAGAATAAATTAAAAAAAAAAAACTTTTACTATTATATCATACTTTTTTGTACAGAGTCTAATTTTGTCGATTAATCGAGATGTATTGTTGTCTCGGATCTCAATTCCGTCGTTCGAAGTCGATGAGGGGTTGCAAGGGTTCATCCGACCGAAAATTTTTCCGTACAACCATATACAACGTTTGTGGGGTTGTGTACCCGAGTGTTGCGGCATTGTATTGTTTGGTTAGAGGTAGAAAGAAAGTGAAGCATTGTGGCGCTGTCAGGCAAATTAGAGATAGAGAGTTGGACATAGCGGAACTCAAACTTGACGCCATGATGTTGCGAGGTTGGTTGGCTGGATCGTTTCCTTTGTCGTTTTTAACGAAGAGTTGCATCCCTTAGTAGTTTTAATATTTTTCTCTTTGTTTGTTCATATGAGAAGAGTGCAAGAGTGAACTGAAATAAAGAGAGTAAGAGATAAGAGAGATGTACTATTTCTCTCAATTTTTATAGTGAATTTCTTGGTGTAATGACTCCGTAGTTTTTCCTAGATTTCAAATTTTTTCACATTAAATTCTGATGTTCTTTCTTTACATTGCATTTTCTCTTTTTGGTTTGTATTCGCTGAGTGGTTTTTACTTCCCCAACATTATTATCAAGTTCTATACTATTTTTTATTATATAGTTAATCAAAAATATGTTTTTAGATATCATGCATGATGCAATTTTGTTCAGAATTTGCCTTAAAATCATTATACTAATCTTATTATTTTAAAATAAATTTAGCAATTTTCAGGCATATTGTAATACAAAATTATAGCGTAAAACTTATATTTCATTACGTATATGAATATTACAATGCATGGGCAGGGACTTCTGAAGGTGAACAAAGATGGTGAAGTAAATGTACTAACAGACGAGGCTGAGGGGAAGAAATTCAAGCTAACTGATGGTGTCGACGTCTCATCTAAAGGCATCATATACTTTACAGATGCCTCATATAAATATAGCCTCGATATGCATTTACTTGACAGTTTAGAAGGCCGTCCATATGGAAGATTGCTCAGCTTTGATCCTTCTTCTAATCAAACAACTGTTCTTTTGAGAGATCTTTACTTCGCCAATGGCGTCTCTCTTTCTCCTGATCAGCAATCCCTCATTTTCTGTGAGACTCCACTGTGAGTATACATAGAAATTCTTGCTGATGAGCTTGCAGAAGATATAGAATTTAGCCGTTTGGTTTTGTTCATTCAGATGGAGATGCAGAAGATATCATATTGAAGGAGAGAAGAAGGGGAGAGTTGAAGAGTTCATCGAGAATTTGCCTGGTTTTCCTGATAATATTCGATACGATGGTGATGGGCATTATTTAATTGGATTACCAGTGGTAAGTTTCTATTTTTCAACGATGGCTTTCTATAATCAGATATGCTAACTGATTACTTTAGAAAAATAAAGAAAATTTATATGATATTCACAGGAGCTTTTAAAAAAAATTGTTTTCTCATAATAATTTCATAATCATCTCTTGAAAAAGTTACCATCAGTTTAAGTTTCGTTTAGGATGACTTTTTTATTGCAAAACTACTATAGAGAAAATAATTTTTTAAAATTGTTGTAGAAAGTAACTTTCTACCACACTTTTTTTTGGAAGTAGCGAGAAAATAGTGGCCATATACGTGGCCTTAGAAGAAGAAATTATTATGTGTGAACGCCGAAAACGTAGCTCTACATCCGAAAGCCAAGCAGAATGAGTCACGTTAGCAATACCGAGCTGTGGTTCTGACGAGACTCATTTTGGTTGGTCTCGAAACAGTGTTCGGCATCCGCACAAAATATTTTCTCCCTTAGAAGACAGTGTGAACCATTGTAAGAGCAACTTAGTGATATTTGGTTATTTTGCAGGGAAGGACTCTGTTCTGGGATCTATTAATGAAGTACCCCTTGCTTAGAAAGCTGAAGGTTGCTCTGGGAATGCATGTAAACTTTCCTTCATTTAAGAATTCTGGCTTGATGAGAGTAAATTTAGAGGGAAAACCTGTAGCTCTTTATAAGGATCCAGAGCTCTCCCTTATCACAGGTGGTTTTAAAATTGGGAAGCATCTTTACTTAGGCTCACTGTTTCAGAACTATCTTCTCAGGATTGATATTACTAAATTATTAGCAACGAAACCATAGTTGAAGAACTATATATGATGATATAAAAGTGGCAGAAAGCAAATTAAATTCAGGGTTTCGCTGTCTGAATGCATGGAGATTTGAATAAAGAGATCTTTTTTACCTTTTTATTAGTGATATTATGAGCTGTTGAACACATTCAAGCTTTTGATTACTCAAATCAAATTATCTTTCAGATTTTGCTTCATAATTGTTGTTTGAATATGATATTGTCTTCAACAATAATCTTTATGGTTGCATTATTATGGTTTCATTTGGGATGATTTTCTTGTTTCTTTCTAAAATTATTTTTTTACTAGAAAGCTATTTTAAAGCATTAAGAAAGCAGCCTCAAACAAAGCCTATATTAGTGATGTTTTTCTTCTTTAAGTGTATGTGTTTGACACTCCTAAGCTCCTAATATGTTTGTATTACTCTATTATAGAGATGTCTCCAAGGAATTATTTTCTACCGTTAGGTTAGCAACCCATCGATGCTTAGGGTGGTTGGTGGGCGAGCACGGTTGGGAACCCTCCATTTCAGGTTCAAATCCCCTCTACTACGGCCTTGCCTCTTCAATGGGGCAAAGTAAGTGTGGGTTCGATGCCAATGCTTGGCCTTGTCAGGTTCTGCCGAAGGATTAGTTACGCTGCCAAGGGCTCCCTTCGGAGTGGCAGTGGGTAGATACCTCAGTTCCAAAAAAAAAAACTGTTAGGTTAGCGCTGGTAATTATGTTTGAATTTAATTCAATAATCGTTTTAACTTTGATAGATCAAAATTAAATTTGATATTCTTTGTTTTGAATATGCTCACTCGAAATAGGTTTGACTTAGCTTAAAATCAACTATATCTACTCATATTTTTGTGTAGTAATGAAAACATTTATATATATTCACAAATATACTCTATACGATACATAAATAATATGTACTTATATTTAATATTTTTCATAATATTTTTTTAAAAAAATAAATTTTGAAAACATTTATATTGATAATAATTTTGGTTTTTGATTAATTTTTTTTAATAAAATTACTACATTTTATTTGAATCCTCTCAAAAGTTGACTAGGGATCAATCATTTTTACTTTGACTTAATTTTGATGTGAGCCAATTAAATTCAAAATAATTTATGATATCAATCTTAAAAAAAATCTCACTAAAAATGATGCAATTTCTTTAAAATTGATCTTAAGACCCTTGAGTTTCCATGACGAACTGCAAGAAATTATGAGAAAATTAAGCACTTCTTTTAAAATAACTAAAAAATGTAAACCATTCTTTGCATTCAATCTTTTGTTTAGAACGAATTTTTTGTTGCTTCTTAAAACAGCTTTAATAAAAAATCAAAATTTTTATATTAAAAAAGTACTTTAAGAACGAAGCAACAAAAAAACCGTTCCAAAGGTTTCGTTTGGGATTTTTTTTTTAATATTTTTAAAAGCAATTTTCTAGTATAAAAATTTTTTAACTAAAAATTTTATACTAAAAAATTGTTTTAGAAAATAATAAGAAACTTGCCCCAAAACAAAGCCTACATTGGGTTCTTTTGAAAAGGTTAGTTGTAAAAAAGAGAAAAAAAATATTCAAAATAATTTATTAAAATATTTGAAAACTATATTTTAATTCATTTTTAATGATTTAAAATACACCCGTTTGGCTGAATTTTAAATACACAACACAAGTAAAATTTTGTTTATGATCATTCTCATTGTTGTTGAAATTTAGTCTTCGTTTGTGACGGTTTTTTTACTGCTTCTTAAAGCTACTTTTTGGTACAAAAGTTTAATTTTTTGTACTGTAATGTTGCTTCAAGAAGCAGTAAAAAAGCTGTCACAAACGAAACCTTACATGAAATTTATTTAACTTTAAGCTAGCACAAAAAAAGTGATTTATCGTATTTGTTTCACACTTAATCAAGCACCTCTAAAATATTTCAAATTTATTACATTTATTTTGTATTATATTTAAAATACTTAAATTCTAAATGCTTGTAACTAAAAGCCCCTAAATAAAATATTATAATTTTTTAGTAAAATAACCATAAGAAGCTGTTTTAAGAGTTATAATGAATTGGAATTTTGATGAATATTTATAATCATTAAGCATTTTTTTATATATTCTCAAGCAAAAAGTGCAAAGAGATTGGTGGACGATTGAGGCTTCGTTTGGTTGGGTCGTGGCTTATGTAAGGGCATCTCCAACCGAACTCCAAACCGCTTGAATTGCGTCGTCTTGAGCTCCAGCTGAATGGTAAAACTTCCAATATTTGGTTGTAGGTGAACAGTGGGACACCAATATCGACGTTGCACTGTTCATCTTCGCCATTTTTTCTGTCTTTACCGAAGAAACACACAAAAGGAAGAAAGATCGTTACCTTGGCAAAAAGGTAAAATTGAGTTCGATTGGAGATGAATCACAACATTTTTAAGTTTCACGATATTTTTGAGTGAAAAATGAGATTTTTGGATGGAGATGGCCTAAAACGGAGTTTTAAGAAAAGTTGTCGGAAAAAAGGAGTTTGATAAAACTAAGTTTTAATAATGAATAGTGTTTGCGTAAAATTTTTGTAGGTGCTTACTGAAACTTGAAAGCTGATATTATTTGTTTATTTATATGATCAACTTTAACATTTTGATGACAAAAGACTAAATTGCCCATTCGACCGGTTTAGCTAAGGAAGAACTGGTGACAGCTAGGGCAAATTATTGCATCCGGTCATCAGACACGGAGATAGGTCCGGATATTAATAAAATATTATTTTAAATTAAGCGCAGGTAAAGTGCAGGTCAAAGCACGGTCAAAAGCGCAGTCAAAGCGCAACTAAAGCGCAAGTCAAAAGCGCAGGTGACGTGACAAATTTTTACTAGATGTCTGAACCTATTTTTCGCGTCCGGTGACCGGATGCAATAATTTGCCGACAGCTAGACATAAGATGTAGACGAATTATACTGACAAGAAGAGGGAGATAAGGAAAGAATTGCATAAAAGGATTCTAAACTCCAATTGCACCATGAGAGGAGATTAGTCTTCAATGATGAAAACATCTAAATATTTTATCTTCCGTACAAACATGGCGTCCAATTATTCTCTAATTCAATATATTTGATGAGAATGCACAGGAGTAAAGCCAAAGTAGAAATTATTCTATGCTGATGCCGAACGCCGTCAAGAGATCAACCGGAATGTGCCACGTCACCTCCTGCTCGGTACCCGACTCGGTACTGCTCGGTACCGTAGTTCGGTACTGCTGACATGACGCATTCTGATTGATGTTCTACATATTTCTAATTAACAGTGAAACCTGGAAGGCGTTCTGGTATCACAGAGGGGAGAAGAAGATGGGGAGCGTTTGATTCTAGAAGTTTCTGGAATGTAAGGCCGGGTAGCCAGAAAATTGATGGCGAAAGCAACATCGGCTATGATGGGTCGGAAACGGGCCTGTTCCTGGAGGCACATAGAAGCTATGACAACTAAATGGCGAAGAGCATTCTCTGGATAGCGGATAAGGAAAGAATTGCATAAGAGGTTTCAAAATATAACCGTTAGAGGGAACCTTTGAATACTTTGAAAAGCAGTGGGCCAATGCATTATTAAAACGCCAGGGTTTTGAAAAATATAACCGTTGAGTTGAATGATCATTCTGATTTTGAAAGAGCGCTCAACATCCCAACCATTCTTTTTTTCCCAGTAATCTCGAGAAGAGAAGCCAGATCGGAAATGGAGGAGTTTCTCAAAAAAGAAGAAAAGGGACCATCTAGGAGCCAATAACGTACACGAAGGTGATCCCCGCTCAATCTTCTGTCCCCCGGTCCTTCTTATCAATCTTAAGGAGATCTTAGATCTCACTTCGGTTTCTTCAGACCACCTTCGCAGATGAATAGAAAACCTCCACTTGCCGTCTCTCCCCGCCGGCTTCGGCCTCGGCGACCTCCAACCTCCCTTCCCTCTCTTCAAACCCCAACAGTGAAGGCCAGATCAAGACCTCCAGCTCAGTTCCCCACTCGTCACTCCATAGCCGGCGAGCCCCTTATCGGGAAGGATTATCCCATCATCCCCCCTGAGTTAATAGAGCTAACCAAGAAAGCCAAGGATGACTTCACCGCTGGCCATGATTCCATCGTCTGCACCAAACCTCTGTTCGAAAGAGGCAGATTCTATGAGTTATACTCTGCTCGTAGAAACGAGAGGCTTAAAAGGAAGATGATGGAGATCTCAGTGGAGAACGTTGCCCAATATCATGAAGTGGGTGTTGAGATTTCAAAGAAGAGGAGTTTGAATAAGGAAGAAACACCGAGGAAGTCATGTCCGGGGAGCTTTTCGGTGAACCGAGCAAGTAGTTTGAGGTCATCGGCCCTAAAAAGTACTTATAAGGAGAGGAAAAAAGTTTCTGTTTCGGGAATATCAGCTATGGCTTCTGTTGATGTTGGAAAGAAGATGATCACTCGATCTGCGCTGAAGAAGATGATTTGATCAAAGCGGATAATGGACTGTTGATTCAGGTTCTTGCAAGAGATTCTAGGGGGTGAAAATTGATGTTTTTCAATTTGCAACCATGTTGTAAATCCCTGAGCAATGTTCTTTGGCCTTTTTTTTTCCTTTTTTTGTGATGATATTGGATTTTATGTTTTCTTGTTTGGTATGGTAAACATTTTATCTTCAATAGATCATGACTTTTTCTTAGCTAATTTCTGTAATTTCTTTTCTTGTATACTTCTGATTTGTCTTAATTTGCTTTCATAAATAGTTCTTCAACCAATTCGTGCTTTCATAAATATGGACAGGGCCTGGCTTTCATAACAAAACCATCATTACACTTCGCCATCACTTCCCTCAATGTCTACGCTGAAAGCTAAAGTTGATTTCAGGGATCACTGGAAGCTTACTTTGCTTCTTTGGATTACTATAATACAGATTTTGGAGGACAAAACATCAGGAAAAAGTTAAGATTTCTTTACAAATAGCTGGTTATATGTAATGAGAGCAGGTGCTCAGAAATTCAAAATTTATTTGATAATTAGTTAAATTTTAAACAATTCAAAATCACAATTTTTATGCTCTACTCGTTAATGCTCACACATAATAAGTTTAATTCACCTCAGAATGAAAAATTGAAGCTCGCAGCTCATTCTGATTTTTTGATTGAGAGCTTTGGTTGTCACCCACGAGGTATTGGATTGTGTATGTAATGTATGCATGAATTTGTCTTAATTGGCTTAAAACTTTTAAAATAATAAAAAAAAAAAACTTTTTGATCATGTGATTCATGTATAAATATTGAGTAAATATTATAATATAGAACAAATCACCTAATTACTTTCAAGCTTCACATAAAAATTGAAATATATCATTCATGTATGATAGTGAATCAATATTTAATATTTTATACCTACCAAGGGGTTTTTTCCAAAGCATAGGGAAACACAAACTATTTTCCTTAGGCTAAAATAAATTAATGCATATGTTTGTAAAATCTTTCAAGTAGAATGAAACTCGATACATCTACAAAAAAATTATTTGATCAACATGAATCTCCAAGCAATGTGCGAATTGAAATTGAATTCATGGCTATTGGAACTCCGATTTTAACAAATTTATAGTCGAAATGAACACCACGATTAGACAAATCCATGAACGACACAAATGATTTGATTTAAATTCAAATGAACAAAAAGCAAACACTTGAATCATACTTCAAAGCTTATGGATGTCAATTGAGAGACCAAATAATCTCCAAATTTTGTGTATTTATAATCAATCAAGCAACTCGATTAGACAGATCTAACACATCCAAGATTATTCTATTATAGCTTCATTAAGGAATTCAAATGCTAGATACATGATTTATGATCAAGGGATTAATATGGAATTATGGATTGTCCGATGGAGTGGTATTATGGCTAAGTTAACTAAAATGCTTCTTTTAAAAAAGCTATAAATAAGGTTTCATTCTTTACATGAAGGAGGGTTCAAGAGCTAAGAGAGTTTAATGAACAATATTCATTTTCTAATGATCACCACCGACGACCACCATCATTATTCACTGCCAACATTGCCATATTTTCGTCATTGGAGTATGATAGGAAATAGTAGGAAAACAGGAAAATAATTGCTGTAATAAAAAATTATGTTGATTAACCAAGAAAATTTTTATGTTTTTATGGATGAAAGCACAAGAAAAGCACTCTAGATTGTTAGGAGATGAAAATAAAAAGCAAAATACAAACAATCCTCTATTTGAGAGAAGGATCAATCTCTCCAAAACTCTGTAAAAGCCGCTAGAGCCCAAGACACTCAAGAGAAATTCAGAAATTAGTCAACAAAAAGATGTCCTAACCCTAATACAAACTCCTAGTTAAAGCAAATACAAAAATAACATGAAAGGACATTGACTCTTAAGGTTCAAGAGGCCGATGCCTGCTGTAATGCAGGAGCCGTCGACCCACATGTTGGGCTGGTGCCTGCTGTAATGCAGGAGCCGTCGACCCACATGTTGGGCTGGGTGGACCGGTCTCGTCGTATCAGACTATTAGTGCTTGTCTATTAATATATAGCTTTGTCGTTTGGCTTTAATTATCAAATTGTGGACATCTAATTATTATAATTCCAACAAGTGGAGTCAAACATTTATTTTCAACTGTAAATAATCTCATATACTTCAATTATGATGAATGTAAATCTCTTATATCTCATTTTATGTAGTGGATTTATTTCAAGTATATCAAGCCCCATAAATTCTCCCTTCCATGTTTTTCATGTAAAAATTTTTGATATCTTATAACTTTTCTATGTACATATTTAATTTATGTCCAAAGCTAAGATACTAAACATATGCTCTATGCTGAAGATGTTTTAACACGCAATAAAACATAACATAAATATATAAACTTTATTTGATATGTAGATTAGAATTTCACACAATACTCTAAAATTAAGCGCATCAACGTTATATCATTATTAGATGGATGATATCCTTGAAAATTAAAATAAATAAATAAATAAAACTAGAAAGCATGAAATCAAACTAATTTATTGATATATCATCAAAAAATTATCCTGATCGGGCACGAATCTCGAGGGAAAATCAACCCAGAAACTTCAAAAATTAAATACGGGATCACCTGAACCCCGATTTCAGTAAACTTATAGCCAAACTGAGCGTCTCGGAAATACGAACCCAACGACACCAAAATCGACTCAATGTGAGCCCAAATGAGTCCAAATCAAGGACCCGAAGCGTTGTTGGAAGATTCAAACCACAAATTGAGTTATCAAATGGTTTCCAAACATGACGTGTTTATAGTCGAATCGAGCGGCTCGACGAGGCAAATCCAACGAGCCCAAGATCGCCGACTTCTGACATCATTAAGACTTTCAAATGTCTGATGAACGGTCCATGATCAAGGGATTCAATATCGGCCGTCCACTCAAACCACTCCCGATTTGCCCCTAATCTCTCATCTATTTACAGGTCATGCCACTCCAAACAAATCGATAAATAGACCCCTCATTTATCTTGAGAAGGGGAGAAGCAAGAAGCAAGAGGAGAAGAGAAGAGAAGAAGATTAGGAGGGAAGAACTCCTCTTCGACCACCGCCGGAGTTCCGTCTGAACTCCAAATGACGCCGGAATTTTACCTGACTTCCACGGGACACTAGAATTCTGCCCGACTTTCACGGGACGCCAGAATTCTGCCTGACTTCCACGGGACACTAAAATTCTGCCCAAGTAACGACAGAGTTCCCCCCTGACGGCAATACTCCGCCCAAGTGATACCAGAGTTCTCCTCGGCTTTCAACAGGCGTCAGATTTTTACCCAACGCTGAACTTCTACCGGTTATCAGACTTTCGCTATACGTCTATCTGAAGATGGATTTCATTTTATTGTTGGACTTCTACCTGACACCGACTACAGTCTTTCAGACTTCTGTCGCCCGCCGATTACGGTCCTCCTGACTTACGTTGCCCACCGACTATGGTCTTTATGACCTCCATCGCCCATTGACTACGATCCTTCTAACTTACGTCGCCCACCGACTACAGTCTTTCCGACTTCCGTCACCAGCCGACTACGGTCCTTCTAACTTACGTCGCCCACCGACTAAAGTCCTTCCGATTTTCATCGCCAGCCAACTACGGTCCTTCTGACTTACTACAGTTCTTCCAACCTCCGTCGCCGGCCGACTACGATCCTTCTGATTTACGTCGTCCACCGACTACAGTCCTTCCGACCTCCGTCGCCAGCCGACTACGGTCTTCCTGACTTACGTCGCCCATCGACTACAATCCTTCCAACAAAGCGAATACTACAACAATGACTCTTTGTATTCCAACATGTAATGTACTTCATATAATGTACATCAAATCCAGGTCTTCCCCCAAGGAAGGGCCTCATTTGTAATCAATTGCAATACTAATGGATTCATTCAAATTGGGCTAGGCCCCGTGGTTTTTCCCCTTTTAAGGGGTTTTCCACGTAGAAATCTTGGTGTCTCCTATGAATGCTACACACTCTCTTATCTAATTGTGTATCGGATTTTCGTACAATGCTAAGACATTAAACTTTATATTTATCTACCGCCGCTAAGACTCATGGACGCAACATTTATATTAGAAAATTTTTGTTTTAAATCACCCTGATAAAAAACAATTAAAATATATTTTTAAAAAATAGTCTTTGTTGCCTATCCTAAACAAAATTTTAGGCTAAAATTTTTTCCATTTGTATGACTCTATTCAATTTAGCTAATACTAATACTCTGATTTTATATGATACTTATTACTTAATTAATATTATTTTTTAAATGAAATGTATTTTTATGCATAAATTTTGATATAATTGTGACAAAATTTTATATTAATAAAGAACTTTATTATGATGAAGAACTTTTAATAATTACCATATCAGTGATCCATTAATAGCATTAAATGAAATAATTAAATATATTAATAATTTTATATATGAATAGGAAGTAAAAAACTAAAAATAGTAAAATACAATTATTTTTCTGAGCATATTTCTTTTCGGCTCGAGATATCCTCTTACCCGATCTGGTCGTCTGCCACCGCTGCGGGCGATGGTGGTTCAGCCGCTAGGTCGGTCAACAGAGCCCATGAATGAAGTTTAAGAGCAAATGAGGAGGAAGTTTTTCGCAGCTCTGGTTACTTGACTCGCTACTATCTCTTATTTGTATCGAAATCTCTTCAAAATGCTTGATTGTCGATGATGTTAAAAAGGATTCTGTTTTGATAATTCTCCCTCTGCTCCTTTCGTTCATTTTCTACATTCTGAAGCTTTCGCCTTGAATAGATTAAGATTCTGTTAGTTTTTAATGTGAACTTTTGCTTATATGTGATAGTCGTGATTATCTTTCGTGAAATTTACATGAGAAGGGATATAGGGCTTCTTATTGGGGGATAAATTTGGGTTTTCTTCTGTTTAAATCCAAGAAAAGCTCATTAAGGATTTCTAGCGGTTTTTACTTAACAGATATAATAAGGTTAGAAGTTGCCGTATAATGAAAAATGATTCATTTAAATGTCGTTGAACTTTGAATTTTGCTTTAGGAGCAAGCACTACGGGCATTGAGGATGGTGGCGGTGAAAATGAAGGCCTGTCCTCTTGAGAGGGGTTGTTTTAAGAGGAAAAAACATGAGATATTGCTGTTAGGGTTTCTTATTTTATGATAAAATTGAGGTTTCTTTATTGTTTTAAGCTCAATAGAACCTCCTTGAGGGTTTTTAGTGTCTTTCACCTAGGACAGGGCTAGGATTTTCTGTATAATGGCAAAATTTTAAACTTAGGTGTATTAGGATAACTCTTGTAGAACTCTTTCTTGCTGCTTTTTTTCATCTTCCATAGGGGGTTCCGTGCCATAAACCTACAAATCTATGGAGTTCATACCGTTCACTCATCTCACTCCTTAACTTGTAACTTCACAATAGCACCCCTAGGAGGATTATGCACTATTATTTCTAAATTATTTTTAATCTCAAGTTTACATCTTTTATGCCACCTTGAGTCTATAGGGAAGTCTTTATCTTATCTAAATTATCACATGCACTAAGTATTTATAATAGGATTATGCACTATTTATTATTATTATTAAGGGTATTTATTTTTATTTTATTTTCCATTATTTGTCTCTTATTGCTTGTGTGTGGACACATTTATGCTTGTGCTAAGATTATAATTTAGTAAAGATGTAGTCATTACAAATCTTTCTCCTTTTTAATGATGCACTATTAACGAAACTTATGTGGCTTGTGCTCGTATGTGTGGTGGTGCAAGCTTGATAAAGTAACTTGAACCCCAAATTTACTTGCTAGTTGAGTTTTCTCGATGGCAAGTTAAGTCGCTATTTTTATTTCTCATGGTGGAGGTGACTTGTTTCTTATGTAACCTTTGTGTGTGTGTCTCGGTGTTATTTTTTGTGAAGTCTAATATTTTTGTTGCAGTATATGAACAAATTCTCTGTTGCTCACCCTCTCCCCTGCCCTTGTGGAAATACTTAAATAATTCCCACTAACAATATTGACAAATCTTGTCTTTGAGATTTCAGCTCTTGTGGGTGGTACATTCTTGTTGTAGATGGCCAATATGAATCAACCTAGCAGACTGATGCCACTAGTGCTTGGCTTTGGAAATAATTACGTGATGAATTGATGTAACCTCACTTCTGGCTGTGATTATATTTCGGAGGTTTAGATAAAAAACATTTCTAAAGTTTGATGATTTATTGAGTTAACTATTATAAACTAAAGAACTTCATTCTCGAAGTGTATTAACTATTAGGTAATTCCAAGTTTCCAACAAATAAGAAGATTTCATTAATGCTATTTGTCAGTTGGAAATTCTTCCAGTGTAGATAGGCCTCCACAATAAAAATAAGTGCTGCTATTATTTTCTTATTTATCATCTAAAATTTTTTTTATGAGTGCTTTCCAGTATCATTGCAATTCCAAAATGCTTCTTTTCCTTTCAGGAAAAAAATGTAAAATGGAGTGGAATGGACACGAGGTATAATACACAAGCTCTATTTGTGTCTGTAATTGGTCACTTTATGCAGGTGCCTGTTGGCATGTAGCTAATAAGAAAAAATGACTGAGAATCTGTTTTCACATTAGCTGGAGCTATTTGTCATTTATTGAGGGTATTTGTCATTTCTTGCTTTGATTATCAGCCAACACTTGTTAAGAACATCGGAGAAAATATTTATTAGATAAATGACTTGATATTAGCAGAATAAACATTGTGTATAATATATGATTAAGAATTGCAAGTTAAGATTGATAAAAGATCAAATGATGTTGAAGTGTGATATTTCATGAAACTGTTACATAGGAGAATGTTGATGTCAATGAGATTATAATTTCTAGAGTTGGTGTTGGTTGGTTAAAATGGAATGGAGATATAGCAGAATGGTATTATGATATGAGAGTGTTGTGAATACCTACAAAGAAAATTCCCTAAAACTTTGATTTGACTGGTTGTGTTTTATGGATTTGATTGTTGGGCAATATAAAAGCCACAAATAACTAAATTATGCGTGAAAGAGATTAGAATGTTATGATGGAAGTGTGAAAAAAATTTAAAATATATGATTGAGAAATGATTTTATGTGGGGGATTATAGGAGGCGTCTATTGAAAATACAGTAGTTGAAAATAAATTGGGTGGCTTAAGCATATAAAAAAAGAATCTAGGAGATAAACTTATTTTGGAAGGATCAGGAAAAAAATTGTTTGCGAAAGGCATGGTTAGAAGTTGTGCAAACAAATTATTGCAATGTAAATTTAATGTCTTAAACAACTCTCAATACGGATGAATGAAGAATGAGGATTCATTAAGTTAGTTGAATAATGCTATTCAAAGACCTCGACCAGTCCCACGACATTCTTAATTTTACTCTTTTTTAAGAGTCGTACTTATTGTCATAAACAATGACTTTTGGTAAGAAGTCCTACCTTAGCATCTATTCCATCAAATTGACTTTATACATGATAAAACTTTTAAGTATTGTTAAGAAAGCTTGTGCAAGCTATTTATGTTTCAACCTTTCTGTCATGTTATTTAATCCAAACCAACAGGTGTAATGTGAGCATTTATCTTGCACTTGTAAGTATAGATATTCTGTTGTCTACAATATAAGCCAGCATGTGTTTTCTAAAATCATATGGATTCCTTATTAGATGCTAGTTTAGCTAAGCTGAGGTCTATATAGTCAAATCAATGAGTTCTCCAAGGTGTAAATTGATGACTGACAGACTAAAAGCTCTCTGATTTTGTAGAATGATGTTGCACTGGCAAAGTTGAAACTCTCTTATCGGGTATAGAAGAATTTAAGGATAGCAAATGATGGCATTAGGTTGAGTTAAATTTGTTGTGATCCTCAATAATATGAGTTTGTTAACTTGCTAGTGCAAAGTGTCCTATGTCTTCTTCATCCTCTCCTCTCTTCTTCTTGGGTTTGTGGCTGCTTTTTCATCTTCATTTGAAAATGTTGTATTGTTATTTAGGACAAAATAAAATCACTGCTCACAGTGAGAACAAGCTACTTAGTTTTTTTATGCATTATATTGTTTTTTTCTCATATTATTTTCGAATAACCTGGAATTTATATGCTAATTTTTATAAAAGCTAAAGTAGCATTACCATCAATCAAGGTATAAGAATCTAATTTAACTTTTTAATTTCTCAGTAACATATTTAATTACTTGAAATATGCTTCAAATCTACTCCATTCAAAGATGTCTGAGGATAAGAGTTGCTATACCCAACACCGCAATACAATCATATTTTAATATCAAATTGAAAGTAATGTTGCATAATGCTGTGGAATCAGTAGGATTTTCTAAGATTTTTCAGTTGGCTTGCAAATAATCTGTAGTTTTTATTATGTGACTAATGCAAAACTTTAGCCAAAATAATGATATAATGGTCATGGAAAATAGATTTACTATGAAATTGATTATCAATACTCTAAATAGGTTCCCTTGCAATCAAAACTTCTATCATATGGCTTAGCCTATATGTTTTCTTGTTTCAGTTTTAGTTTTTACTCAAATATATAGCAATGTTAGTAACTTTATTGTTTTTAATAGAATAGCAAGTTCATTGTTTTCAACAGAATAGACGGAAAAAAAAAAAACAATTGGATGGCTTGAATCCTCTTCATAGATGCTGAAATCAGAGTCTATGATGTAGGAACTGATTCCCTAATTTGGTGTTGCAACTTCCTATAGAATGATGAGATTAGGAGGTAGGTCATCACTCCCATAAATCCTCCTGTATTTGGAGCCATGAAAATATGGACATATATGATGGAAATAAGAAAGAGATTAATACAAATGAACTAAATTGATATTCAATTGAATTTCAAATTCTAGATAAAGCTATATTTATTACCAACTAATTCACTAATAAGTGTAATAAAAATTCAATTATCTCCTTAAAAAAGAACAATGTAAGATAAATCTAATCTTTTTAGTTAGAATATGAGAACATTCCTTAGAATTTTCTCTTATGAGCTGGTTGGCCATGGAGAGATTAGGAGAAGCATTTGTGGAGTTTAACTTGGCATATTCCTTGATTCCTCAGAATGGTTTTGACTCGGTCATCATCCTTAGCTTTGCCTCTGCCTCCTTTCTAGGAGAATTAGTTGGACTCTTCCTCTCTCCTCTTCTTTAAGCAAAATTCTTTTTTTTCATGCTTGATTTATGGAGTTAGTTTTGACTTATCTAATTTCTCTTTAAAAATAATTTGATATGTACTTGTTATTCTCTCTCCTCTTGTGTAGAGGTTAGAATATTCATTGGATTTAGTCTTGCCTATCTTCATGCTTAACTTGAATTGTGTACTTTACTTTTGACTCATTAATTTTTACTTTTTGACTCCTTAATTTTTTCTCTTGGACTTTACTTTTGACTCTTTGCTCTTTAGGATAAAAGTTATGTCTGCTCTTCTTATTTTTATCCTATTTAGCTTGAATTAAGATCCATCATAATACCAAAGGTCCTCTTGCTTAATTTATATGCTTGTTTAGATCACATTTGCCTTGATTTGAAATGGGTAAATTTATTTATTTTTTGCTCACTTAATTCAATCCCAATAAGGTGAATAAGGGTCTTGAGAGCCTCCCATCTCACCTAACCTTCCAAAAGGATAGCGTGTGTATTTGTGTGTGTGTATGTATGTATATATAACTAATAAATAACAAGATTTGACAATGTATCATATACTATTAGAGCTCAACTAACTATAGTTAAAAGAAGCTACTAGCCTTTTGAAATTACTGAACACGCACATTTATGCTACAAGTTACTGAAATTTAAGTAGGATATAACATTTGGAGTACCTGCGCTTACTAGGACTATGCAAAATATCAGATCTGATTAGGACACCTTGATGAAAGTACAAGAGCTTTATAAGTTTTGTGCTTTTGCAGAAAATTATTCCAAAACTTATGGTTATACATAGTTTTGGGTGCTTGATAATTTTTACATGTGATTAAATGAGTATTGTGTGAATATATTATTTTTATGAGTTTCTTGATGATTTTTATATTGATTGGGGCCTCTCATATATATGTTTTCAGCAAAACTTTACTCATGGTATTTTGAATATTTCTGCAGGTTTGCAACCTTCCCCTTCTCCTCAGCTATTGTTAAGTTCATTTAAATTAGGCAAAGGTACTTAAAGGGGTGTGACATCGCTAAGGTGCCATGAATTTGACCATACTCTCTTGGCATTTCTATATTTTATAAAGCTGAATTAGTCTTTGTCTTTGTTATAGAAGAGATGGAGAATTATGTTTTTTTACTTGTAAGATTTATTTATTTTTTTGCACATACTTCTTGCAAAGATTTTTTTTAATGATGACATTCTCTTACAAGTTATATGCATTCACACAAATCCAGCACTTCATTTACTCCAAGAAAAGTGAAATGTGCATAGTTTGTTCCTACACAATTATGCATTGAATTCATCACTTCCACTTATTGCAGTAGTCTGTAAGGAATGTACTTTTGCAACAGATGAAATCACTGTGTAAGGTGTTATAATTATTATTTTAGATAATCTATCGTTAAATTTATCTTTTTTGTAGAGATTTAAATTGATGACATTTATGCTTCTGTGTAGATTGCTATTATGTTAATCCTACACGCATCCTTATTGGGCCTTTTGCATAGATAAAAAGTTGCTAATGGTGAATTACTCTCCATTCTACTAATCATCTCCTCAATTTCTTCAGGCAAGGCTGCCCATAGTGGTTGTATAATGGCAGATTAGTTCTAATTTTGAAGAATACAAATATCACTACAGTTGATTGAATATGCCAAGCGGAGAAAAGCAACCCCCAGTTTCAGCTAAAAAAGTTGCTTTAAGAGATTTGCCCAGTGAGATAAATAATTTTGCTTCTAATCCTCTTGACTATTCCCCACTTAGGGATAGGGGTTCTATTACTAGCACTCCAAAGTTATCTGGAACTAAAAGAGAGCAACCAAGTAGTCCTTCTACTCCTCATCCCCAACAACATAGTAGTTACAGTGGGCATCTAGTATATGTACGTCGAAAGCTAGATATTGAACCAAACAAGATATGTGTAGAAAACGTGGAGTGCACTAACCCTCTTGTGAGCAATTGTTGGAAGGATCAATCAAGTGAGAAAAAATCGCCAAGAGAACAGGAGGCAAAGTTTTCTGGTGTTTCTACTCCGTTGTTGTCACCTACCTCTTTCATTTCACCTTTGAGATCAGAACCTCTACAATGTACTAGGAAACTTGGGAATCTAATGCCTGTATCCCTAACAAATCATACTAGCGTATCCCCAGCTCTTGAGTCTGAAACTCAAAGCCAGGGTGAAGGATATTGGAAAGAACGGTTTATTCGACTGCAGATGTTTTTAAAAAATTGTGACCAATCTAATCAGGAGAAATATATTCAGAGTAAGTAAATGGATACTGGATATGAAATTCTTTTAGTACATCAATAATCTATTTATTCATTGATTTTTTTATGGTGTTTAGACCTTAGATCACTATCAGCAGCTGGCCGGAGCATGCATGCTGTTGAGCTAGAGAAAAGAGCAATACAGCTTTTATGTGATGAAGGTATTCCATTCTATAAAGTCTTATTGTCTCCTCTATATTGCCTATTTTCTTATTCATTTTTTGCCATAGAAATATGTTTTACTATATTATGCTCTTGTAGAAAGAAATTAGTAGCAGAGAAATATATCTAGCTCATAACAACAAGATGATGTAAGGAAATCAACTAAATCTTAAACAATATATCAATACACAACACAAAATTGAGCTTTGTAAAGTGAGTGAGCGCTGTTTATTGGATTCTCAGTTTCTTTTGAGATGTGATTGTCTTGATTGGATTTCATCTTGTTCTCATTTCTTTTGCTTTGTTTGGGTTCAAGATTTCATATGGACTCAAGTCCGTATATGGTTATTCATCCCTCCCATTTAGGGAAACACTCCGACTATGTATGTCTCTTAGCTTCACTCTTTATATTTGTTTGCTTTCACATGTGTTGTACATATGGTTGTACATAGTTATTTGTTTGGAGTTATATTTAGTTAGGATACCCCTTATTCATCACCTTCGGTTTTATCGAGTAGACCTCAATTTAAAGATTTGGGTGCCTTGACTATGATGGTTCAAATCAAATGCTACGTTGTTAATGCAAATATTGATTATTGTTAGTAATTATAGTTTAGTTGTGAGAATATACGAAGAGCACATCCTCTTGTGAAAAAACCTTGGTTTACTTCACCAACAAAAGGCTTATCATGCTAAATAGATTGAATTGCGCAAAAACTCGAATTATGGCCAGTTTTGATTCAAGATGTAATGGACGTGAGTGATGACAACTTAGAGTTATGGTACAAGCTATTTAGTTTTGTCACTTTGTGAGAATGAACTTTAATTTGCCTAGAGGAGCTGATGCCATATTTTATAATATGTTAGATTTTTAGTAATTTATGATTTGTGGTGGCACTAAACCTATGTAGCTTTGGGAGTCTTTTGATTTTGTGAAACCTTAGGATGGATGTTTAGATCCTCTTGGGTGGGTTGGTGCCTTCAAACTTAAAGATTTAATTTAAGAGTAGGTAAATAGATGTGAAAATTGCACCAATATGTTTCACTCAAATGACAATATTGCATTTATCAATATTATTTCTGTAGGTCATCCTCTAGAGAGCCTTTATAACAATATCCAAAGGAATATTTAACATTGTTTTCGTAGTGTTTTGAGAATTGCTTTGTGGAGGTTTTACATGATATTGGAAATTGGTCCCAGAAGGGAATTATATCCTTGTGGACTTCTTGGATGTATTTTGTTTATTTGACCCTGTGTGGGGTATTTAGGATGTTAGCGATAGGAAATACTTGATTTCGCAAGCAACCCTGAGGGAATACTTGAGTTCGCAAGCAAACCTATCACTAATTGGAGAAAAACAGCGAGAAAAGAGCGAGAAAAGAGCAAAATAAGCTCCAAAACGATAGATTGCAATAAGGGAAGCAAAGAAAAAACAATATGAAAGAAAGATACAAGTGATCCTCAATTCGAGAGGAGGATCGTCTCTCCCAAATCTCCAGACAAGAGAGTCTAGGGCCCAAACACCAAGAAACCCTAACTCTCAACCAATCAAAACATAAAATCCCTAATTCCCTCATGCACTTTAATACCCAAACCTTCCTAATACAATTTCCCTCCTAAACCCCAGCCCCTCCCCCTCTATTCAATTTTCAAAAGTAATTAGATGGGGCGGGCCCCATCAGTTTTGGCAGAACAGCCAAAGGAGGCGGCTTTGTTTCGCCTCCTATAGTGGATTTGAGCCGGTCTGTTGACTGGCTGGGCCGGTTCAACGTAACAGTTAGTCACCTTTGGGGACATTTTACTTTTCTTTTAGGCCCCTTGGGGTCTTATTGGTGCTTTGGCAAGCCAACTAGCATATCCAGGGACCATTACTGCATTAACAACTTATCAATACACCAATTTGATTTTTGGTGCCCAAACAACTTGATTAATGCATAGGACATCATCTTGATGCTTCCTTAATCAGAAGGGATTCAATACCCTAACATGTTTTTTAGAGCAATGATGAATAATTTTGTGAAAATTTTTATAGATTTGTCATAAAAAATAAAATAGCATTGACTGAAAAAAAATGCACAAAGACAAGTATTTATGTCTATGTGAGATTTTTTGAGATTTTAAGAGTTAGAGAAGATATTTTGCTGATTTGGTTAAAATTTTTTAAATAGAATTTTAAAAATTAAGATCTCAAATAATTGAGGAAGCATTTTGTTTTTAGTAATTAAGATAAAGATGATTTCCACATTATACTAACTATAGAGGAATCAAACTAATTAGTTAGAGAATGAAGATATGGGAGCGAGTAATGGAATGTATGCTTAGAAAATCTATATTTTTTTGTAATGGATTTGGTTTTATGCCTGAAAGATCTACCATTAAAATGATTTTTTTTGTTAATGTTATTAATGGAAAATTATGGAGAACCAAGAGAAGATACTCGTATAATTTTTATTGATCTTAAGAAGGGCATAGGATTGAGTTTCATATAAATTAATTTGGCATGCTTTAAAGAAAAAGATGTGTCAAAGATATGTTGACATTGTTAAAGATATATAAGATGAAGCACTAACTAATATTCATAGTTGTGGAATGTGGAGTGACCCAAAGTATTCAATTATTGAATATTTATGTTAACTATCAACATTGAGTTCATATCTTTTTGTTTTAGTTATGGAGATACTCATAAAGGATATTAAAAGCTAGATGCTTTGGTTTATACTTTTTGCAGATATAGTTCTTATTGATGCAACTTCCATTAAAATCTGTGAAAAATTAGTTCAATTTGAGAAATGTTTAGAAGGTATAGGCCTTAGAACTGTAGAATAAAATCTAAATATATTATATATAATTTTAATGCTTGATGTAAATAATTATCTTTCAATATTATTAGATGGTAGGGGGATACCTTTATGCAATAAATTTAATTATATTGATTTATTATACAAAAGAATTGGGTGTAGATGTAACTTACACTGTTTCACCATTGGATAGTTAAAATGGAAAAGTACCTCCAAAGTTTTATGTGATATGAGAATATCATGTAGATTTAAAAATGAAATTTATAAATCCATAATAAGTTGGTGATGTTGGATGGATTGAAATGCTAAGCTATTAAAAAGTCATTAATATTTAAATTAAGTTTATTATAAATAAAAAAGTTAAAATATGTGTGATGAAATTAAGGATGAAAGAAATGATTATATCAGAAAATATTTTGGAGTGATATCTAATTTACACAAGTAATTGAAAATAAATTTAAAATGATTTGTACATGTGCAATGAAGAGTAGAAAATGTGCCATGATGTCATTAGTATCAGAGGAATAGAAAGGAAAAATGGTTGACCTAAGATTACATAGATCAGAAGTTGTTCAAAATGATATGCGAAGAATAAATTTAATATTTCAACTTTCAAGTAATATTCAATACGAATGAATGAAAAATAGATGTTACATAACATTGACCGCCCCAAAGAGTTCACATAAAGCTAATGATGATGGGATGATGACGAATGGTCTGATTTCAACTTAATCTGACCAATAAACAAAATTGTCTCAAGGCACTAACCCATCTTGAGCCATGGTCGACCTCGTTTCAATCTGATATTGATTTAAGTTAGGGTTGACTTTTTTTATTTCAATTTGAGCTAAAAATCAATATGTTGGATTAGCTTGCTATTGTTTAGGACAAGTTATTGGTCCAAATTACAAATAAGTATATATATATATATTCAATAATTTTAAGACTAGTTGATGATTACATCAGCAGGAGATTTTGGCGCGTCTATCATAGGAAACAACGTTGATCAACGGCTACGATTATGAATCTTTATTTGTGATGCATTTATGTATTTTATTTTTATTCATGTTCTGGTTTACCACTGTACTCCTGAGAGGGATTAGTTCATATTGTAGCCTAGAGGGCAATTTCGTCTTTGTGTCTTTTGTTCATTGAGGCCTATATATAAAGGCCCTAACTTTTGTATTAGGGATGATGATTGCTTAATGAAATTTTCAGCACTTGTTATTTCTCATTGTTGTGAGTTCTTGATAGTGGAGAAAACCCTTAGAGAGGGCCAAGCAATTCCCGTCAGCCGCCGGTAGATTCCGAGCTTGTGGTTTGTATCCGTTCTTATTCCCCTCTCCCTTTCCTTCGTCCCCATACTGCCGGCCATCCACATCCTCCCCCAACTTCCGTCCTAACCTCTCCCCTTTACCCCACACCCGCTGGCCAAGCCTTCCCCAAGCCCCCAAACCGCCGGTCTCCTCCCCAACTTCTTCCAAAACCGCCAGCCTCTCTCCCCTCTCCACCTCAAGCCGCCGGCCTAACTAGCCCAAGTCCAAGCCGCCGTCCCCTCCTCCCCCACAAGCCCTTGATTTCAAATTCAAATTACCTCTTAAACACCTTCATAATTTATCCTATTATTAATTTGGAAAGTCTCTTAATTTGAATTTAAATGAGATTTGAAATTCAAAACATTCCTAATTAATAAATCTATTTTAGGAAGTCCCCCAAATCGCTCCCAATCTGAAATTAATCGGGATTTAATTCCAAATCCCACATTCATTGTATGAAGACACATTCGTTGTATGTGGACACCTTTCCTCTCTCTCCTTTGGCCGACCCCCTCTATTCCCTCTCTCTTAATTAATTCTCCCCATTAATGCTCTTAATCAACCCCTCCCCCCAAGGTGTGTTGCCCCTACTTATTCCCCCATTAGAGGAGATTTGAATTTCAAAATTATTCCCTCCTCTCCAATTATAAAATCTGAAATTTATTAAATTTCAGATTTTAATTTATTTCCCCTCCAACCCCTAAACCCAAAACCTGAAATTAAAGCGGCCTCTTCCCCTAGCGTTGGCCGACCACCCCCAATCCCTCCCTCCTCTCATTTTCTTCTCCCTTCATGCACCATCCAAGGAAGAAGATACACAACCCCGGCCTACTCCCCATGAATGGTCGATTTTGAAAAAGACCACGGATTTGTATACGATCATCAATGACGAGTAGATGTGTTGAGATCACCCTTCTTCGACCTCAACTTGGAGATCAACCACACCGTTGACGACTACGTTGACTGGATCCTCTTCACTTTGACGACAGCCATCGAGCATCAAACTTCCGGACAGTGGCAAGTTCTTCAACATCCACCGACTTCTTGCCTATCGTTAGGCAATACTTCAGGCATCTTTAAGTTTGTTGAACTTATTCTTCTGTTAAAACAACCCTGAAAAGAGTGAGAGTGAGGGGAACTCAAGGTGAACTTTCTATTTGTTAACCGGTAGATTTTTGTTACTTTTGCATCTAGCTTTACTATAATTTTGTTGTTATTTTAAATTTCCCTTCTAACCTAGTTTGTAACTGCATGCCAGCGCAAAACAACAACGAAGAAATCCTAGAATCTAATCTTGTGAAACATTAATTTTAAAATTAGCAAGCTTAACCATTGTTATTAAAATTCCTACAATTCCCTCTATGTTTCATATCACTAAAACTGTATCTTAACATTCTGATAATTTTTTTCCAATAACAAATTGTCTACTGACGTGCTAAATGTACTGAAGAGCTTCGAAATTGACATCACAACTGAATATTTTTTCCTTTTCTGCAGGGAGAGAGTTGCAAAAGATGAAGGTTCTGAATGTTTTGGGTAAATCCTTACCTGACTCGCAGACAAGTCTGTCCTACCCCTTTTCACCGAGCCTTAGCTCTAGAGAAAAAGTACTTTAATTTGCCAGGCTTTCTTGTGGTTCAGAAAATTATACTAAATCCTCACTAGTGTCACTTTGCATGAGAGAAAAAGAGAAATGGGATTAAAATATTTTTAAAAAAGAATGAATGAAGCTTAGATATATAATTTTTTTCTCCTCTTTGTCTATTTAGATGCCTAGTATCATTTGTTGAGTAGGAAATATACTTCTCTCCCTATTCTTCCGATAAGATTTGGAGAGTGGTCATTGTAACTGATCTCTTAAACTGGAAGAAAGTTTGTTTGTCGAGTAAAAGTAGGATTATTTATTTGTTCTAACTTCTAAAATTTGTTTGTGTATTCATTAAATATGTTCCAAGAGATTATGTATCTTTTGAACTTTTAAGGAGTTGTTTTAATGTATCATTCACCATTTTTAGCTACGGTTAGTCTCTGGTTTTAGTTTTTTGGGCTTTTGAGCTTACTACTTAAAAATGAAGCCGACCTTCTCTACATATAGTTTGCTCTGTTATCTCTTCTCTACCATATCAAGCATTTTGCAATCGATGTTTCGGTGGTGATTACTATCAGTTTGTTTAAATGCCTCAATGAGTTTTGCAGGGCTTTGGTCATAGAAGAACTTGTTTTCAAAGCTCAATCCATGGAGAATGCCACTTCCTTAAGAGGTTTGATTCTTGATTTTTTTCTTGTTTCTTAAATAACTGAAGGTTATTGAGAAAGAAATGTTGTTTTCTGATTTGTAATCTGTGTTTTGAATCTGCAAATCATCTTTATCTTTCCTTCACAATTTAATGAAGAGATTACATCCAGATTGCCCCGTATATGTAGAGATCTTCTTAGAAATGGAACCACGTAAGATTTTTTGTTCTCAATGTGATTTGATTCTTGTCGGCAAAATGAAAATTATAGGTGCAGGAATTGAATTTTCAGTCTCTGGTTTTTTGAGTAAATTTTTTGTTAATTGATATGTGTATGTTGTTATGTTTTGTACAGATTTTCAATGTGCAGAAATTAGATTTAGTTCATTATAATTTACTTAAATCTATTTTCTATTTGTTGTTTACCAATTTTGATCGAAATGTTATAGTTTATTGAACCTTAATGCTAATTTTTTAGAAAGAACTTATTTTACCTTGTATATATATGGGTGTCAATATTTGGCACAACCTGAAAATCTGATCCGAACATGATCCGAAAATTCCGGGTTAGGGTCAACCCGTTTAAAAAAAAAACCATAAAGACCAATATACTGTTTTGTTGAATCTTGCTGACTTGCTGTTAATTAGCAAAAGAGTTTTGGTCATCTTTCTCTACTTGAATTTTTATGATTGTTCAACTTTTAGCAAATTTTATTTGTTTTCTTCATCTTGGAAGAAATAGAAGCAAGATGATCAAGGTTTCATTTAGGATAATTTTTAAGCTTTATTTGAGATAATTTTTTTTTTAATCATTTTTAAAGCAGTTTTTTAGTGTACTAGAAAGTTTCTTTAAAAAGCAGTAAGAAAGTCAACCCAAACGAAACATTTGGACAACTTTTTTTATACTTAAAGTATCTTTTTATAGTACAAAAATTTTATTTTTTGTTCTAAAAAGTTACTTTTAAAAAACAGTAAAAAGGTTATCCCAAATGAAGTTTAGTCGTTATTTTTTTTTTATTTATTTAAAAAAAAAATTATACTAAAAAACTGTATTAAAAATAGTAAAAAAAGTTGTCTTTGTTTGTAACAATATTTGATTACTAATTTTTTACTATTTTTTAAAAAAATTTGTACTTAAAAGCTATTGTATAAATCAGTAAGAAGATTATTTGCAATTAAATATAAAATAATGCAACAAAGCATTTGAAGTAATATTTTTTATAGGCCGAGTGAATTGAATCTTTCCTAATTTCTGCATATTGTAACATTGTTCATTTGATTTTTCAAAAATTTTAAAAGTATTTCTAACAATCTTAAAAAAAAAAAAAAAAAACTCTTTAACTTCTGAAGAGAAAATAGGTTACTTAAAGAAGCTCAATGTTTTTTATTACTGAATTTCTTTTTATTAATATTTCATTATACTGGCTTTGTGGTTTGAATTTATAAACGAGATTTCAAACATGAGTGATATTCCTTCATACATTAAGGGTAATAAGACTCAAAAGCAAAGAAAAAAACTTAGGCTTCGTTTGGGACGGTTTTTTTATTTTTTCTAAAACTCTGTTTTAGTACAAATTTTTTTATTTTTTAACTAAAATTATGTTTTAAAAAGCAATAAAAAAGCTGTTCCAAACGATGCCTTAATTATATTGACATATTCTCTTATGACGATGTTAAACTCTATAAAGATCATATTTATGATTAATTTTATTTAAAAAATGCTCTCAATTGAAAATATAACTAGTCATTATGTATATTATGATTAATTTTAATTACTAATAAATTACGATAAAGAAAGAAATCATTAAACGGCAATAATGAACCTCAAATTTTAGGTTTCATTTATGGCCAACTTTCTTACTGCTTTATAAAATAGCTTTTAGTATAATAAATTTTTAATTTAAAATTTTTTTAAAAAGCTGTTTTAGAAAGTAATAAGAAAATTGTCTTAAATTAAATCTTAATAAAAATATTAATTAGCATAAATTCTTCATTAAAAAAAAAACATTCTCTCTTAAAAAAAAAGTAAAATGAATAATACATTCTCTCAAATTCTCATTGTTCATTAACACAACAAAACATTTATTAGTATTTAAGGTTGATGAGTAATAATACTAATAAATCTTTGGCTAAAAAACAGTTTATGGCAAATTTGATCATGACTAATTTTATAATCATCGTATTTATTTTAAAATAAATATAATATAAATTTTAATTAATTAAATATTCATTAAACTCGCTCAAAATAAATTAAATAACTATAACATTTATCTTAATCAACTTTAGGTCGATTTTTTTCTCATTAATTATTTGGTTCAAACTCATAAGATTTGAATTCCTAAAGTGGAAACATATTTTCTTAAATTATGAATATTTCTATAGATGATACCGTTGATAATATGAGAAGTCAAACATTTCGAAAACTTCTAAATAAATTCCATTAAAAAATAATTTTTTCATGAAAGCACTTTCAATGTGTTATCATTAAAATAGGGGTGTTAATATTTGACGCGAACCAAAAACCCGACGCGAACCCGACCCGAAAATTCTAGGTTAGGATCAAACCATTTTTGAAATGAGTCGGATCAGGTTCAACAAACTAACCCATTTCAAAAATCAGGTCGGTTCCGGTTGACCTGAAAACTCAGAAATGACCCGAATTGATCCAAATTCCGACCCGCTATACACGAAACGCCCGATAAAAACGTGATGACCAATCTGCCCATCGTCGCATTAGAACGCAATTGAATGTTTTTACTTTGCAACAAATTTGAGAAGAAAGTAAATCAACTTCATAAAATTTTAGCCAAACACCCAAAAGACAGATAATTTGCATGTTAGCATTTTAGTTCATGAAATAGAAGAGGGAGATAAGAAAATAATTGCATGAAAGGATTCTATACTCCAATTGCACCATGAGAGAAGAGATTAGTCTTCAATGATGAAAACATGTAAATATTTTATCTTCTGTACAAACATGGCGTCCAGTTATTCTCTAATTCAATATATTTGATGAGAATGCACAGGAGTAAAGCCAAAGTAGAAACTTATCTATGCTGACGCCGAACGTCGTCCAAAGATCAACCAAAATGCGCCACGTCACCCCTGTTCCGTACCCGGCTCGGTACTGATGACGTGGCGCATTCTGGTTGGTCTCGGGTCTATAAGCGTCGTTAGGCATCCACATAAAATAACTACTCAAGAAATTGAGGTCGACATATTTCTAATTAACAGTGAAACCTGGAAGGCGTTCTGGTATCACAGAGGGGAGAAGAAGATGGGGAGCGTCTGATTCTAGAAGTTTCTGGAATGTAAGGCTGGGTTGCCAGAAAATTGATGGCGAAAACAACATCGGCTATGATGGGTCGGAAACGGGCCTGTTCCTGGAGACACATAGAAGCTATGACAACTAAATGGCGAAGAGCATTCTCTGGATATCGGCCTCTAAGTGATGGATCCGCCAATTTCTTGGACCGTTTTTCCTCAAAGAGAAAAGGCCACGCCTGAAGAAAAAAAGAGAAGAATAGCAATCATAAGATAATGTGAACAAATGCAAGTTGCCGTTGAAGAAATTTTAAAAGAGGAAAATGGAAATGATAAAGAAATTGAATAGAAATTAGCTTTCACCACTTCTTTGGTTGTAGAGAAGTTGAAGTGAAAGATATTTTTGATTTTTTATTTGGTTGATGACATATTGAGGCTTTGTTTGGGATGACTTTCTTACTACTTCTTAAAGCAATTTTTTAAGATAAAAATTAAAAATTTTGTACTATAACGCTATTTTAAGAAGCAGTAAGAAAGCCATCACAAACGAAACCTGAGTTTTTGTTTCCTGACAAATGCATCACAACTATGACCAATAATTTTTCTATGTAATTGTCAAAAGAAAAAAGCAAATTTTTAAATTTTATAGGTAAATCTAATTATTAATTAATTATATTAGAATCAAGCACCCAATATTAAATTAACAAGTAAAGTGAATTTATATTAGCTCCAATTGTAAAAAATCATGTGACCAATAGAGATTTTGGACAAAATCTCATAATTGTAACGCCATCATTTATACACAGAAAACACAAAACCTTAAACTTCTTTACAAAACTCACAGTAATAATTAAGACTGAATAGTTTTGATGGCTATCTTCCTAATAATGAAATAATATATTTTAACTTTTAGAAAAATTTCTCTCTGACACTCAAATATTGCCTATTTATAAATTTAACACCCTCCTACATCATTTCATCCTATGTTTGACTAGATTAGTGCTCACCTTTGATTGAGACCCTAGGGTTTGTCTAGGGTGGGTCCTTAGGTCTGGGTCAATTTGACCCATTTTGGATTTAGTTGACCTATGGTTTGACTAAGAGTCCTAAATGAGAATTTGACTTTTAAGAGGGCATAATGGAAAAAAAAGATTCATGTAGCCGACACCACTAAGTGGAATAAAGACTTGTTGTAGTTGTATGGCCTGACTAAGATTTCGTTTGGGACAGCTTTTCTATTGCTTTTTAAAGCAACCTTTTAGTAAAAATAAATAAATTTTTATACTAAAAAGCTGTTTTAAGAAGCAGCAAGAAAGCCGTCCCAAACGAAGCGTAAAAGTCCTAGGTGGATCCCTAGGGCTAGGCGTAGATGTACATTAGCCCTAAAGTGTTAAGCATATGAAACAACAACGGTAACTTGATATAGAGTAATTGGAGGTAATGGCAAAAAGGCCTAAGTGATAACATCAAATACATAAATAAATAATAAATCAAAAGGACTAAAGTGGCATACCCATGTCACCAGGTTCTGCTCTGCAGCTGCTTTAGATGTGTCAAATGCCTTCCGTCCAGTTATAAGCTCCAAAAGAAGAACACCAAAGCTATATATGTCAGATTTCATTGTTAACTTACCACTCATGGCATAATCTGGAGCGCAATAGCCATAAGTGCCCATTACTCTTGTTGAAACATGTGTGTTGTCACCAACAGGCCCAATTTTGGCCAATCCAAAATCAGAGAGCTTTGGATTAAAATCATTATCCAGTAAGACATTAGCTGCTTTCATGTCACGGTATATAACAGGTGGATTTGCAACGCCATGGAGGTAAGCCAGCCCTTGTGCAGCACCAAGAGCTATCTTTATTCGAGTATTCCACTCAAGCTGGGCCATGGCAGGAGCTCTATCTGCCATAAAAAAGAACTGGTAAGCGAAGAACTTTGTCAACACAACCAAACCAAAACTATAAGCAATGGAAGAAAAAAAAAAAAAGCAAACTTAACTGACAAAAGTTTTAATGAAGACAGTCAGTAAATGTGAGGATGATAATAAGCGAGTCGTTATAAGCTCTTTATACAAGGATTGAAAGAACGCTGGGAAAGAAGCTAGTTAGCTGGAAGGTTCCAAACAATGGACAGATCCCAACCGGTCCTTGTTAAAAAAGTGCTAGAATAAACTAGTATTTTTGAGACACAAAGTTTGGAAAGATATCAACAGTTGCATCTACATTTCACTGTTGAGAGTAGTTCACGATATAATCAAAACATAAAAGAATTTTCTGATTATGAATTAAAAATATATTAAATAAGTTTAAATGAACTTTAAACTTATAAAATGATGAAATGTGTTGAAGTTTGAAAAAAAAAAAAAAAAGAGAAAACAATAATCAACTTACAAGGTACTTGTAATGAACTTGAAAGACTGCTAAGAAGCTCCTAGGACACTCGCAAATACTCAATATATCAGAGAATACACAAATGACTTTAACTTGTGATGAAAATGAACTATGATTGTTCCTCTATTGATAGCACGAAAATTGATTCACCGTGCAGCCCAACCTACCTAAAATTCAATTATATAAAGATGAGAAAAGTACGGATGTGATAATTGTGTTGAGATTCCAATTCGTGATGCTCGTATCCATGTCCGCAATTCAAACAAAATACGAGCAAAAATGAACCTAGAATGCAAAATCATGAGTACGATCCAATGACAACACATTCACATGAAAACTGCCACGTCAGACCCTTACATATCTAGTTCACATGAACGCCTCTAAATAAAATAAATTGGATAAATATGTTGCACGTCATGGGTGTATGAGTGCCGTAAGCAATGTAAATGCTAACTATTAAAGAAAAAAGAATCTCATGCATATCAAGGGAATAAATCGTACGCCATATTACGAATAGTGCATCCCATAAATGAATATTCTCCAAAAGAGACAAAGCAGTACACTATTGCACGTCACAGATTGTATAACTAATTCAACAAAGTGCGCGAGGCATATCAAATCATAGAAAAAAAATCTAACCACGCTTCTCCTAATTGTAAGTGCAAATATAATAAAGACATACAAATGCATTAAGGAACTTATAAGCATACTGCTTTTTAATTATGTAAGTACATCAAAGATCATGCAATTATGCAAATGCATCAAGATATGTGTAAAAGCATTGTACAAGTATGCTACGAAATATACAAGATTTTCTTAAGGATATAGGAAAACAAAAGAAAAAAGCATCCATAAATTTATTGTATATCTTCCCTCAAGCTCCTTATTTTTGCATTGTTGGCTCCAAATACCATGCTTTTTTCCTTGACCTTGAAAAAGTAGCATCTTATTACAATATAATAAATAATACAACCTAACTTGGCAGCAATAACATTTGCAGGAAAACACAACTTATCAGCAAGGTTAAATGTACATGTATCAAACATTCTCAAGTGGCAAAAAAAGGGAAAAGTTAGAACAAATTTTGCAGGGGAATTACCACAACAAAACGTGTTCGGTATCAAAAAACAGTAACAAAATAATAATACCACACAAAACGATATACAAACGCATAGACCAAGATTTATAGTAAGAATTCTTACGAAAAAGATGATCTTCCAAGCTTCCCATTGGCATGAACTCATAAACCAAGAGTCTTTGATCTCCCTCGATGCAGTATCCAACCAAGTTAACAAGGTTTGAATGCTGCAGAGTGCCCAAGATGAGAACCTCAGTCAAGAACTCTTTGGCTCCCTGCAGCCCTTCAAGATTCAGCTGCTTGATTGCTACGGCCTGCTTGATTGCAAAATGAGTCATAAAAAATTTCCTTTGGAGAAGTTCACTAGGCAAAATAAGCGAAACATCAAAGAATCAAACCACTGGAACTACAACTTTCCTGGCCTGATTCTAGTTTCCCCCTGTAGACTTTTCCGAAGCCTCCTTCCCCAAGCAAATTGGACTCCTTAAAATTTTGAGTGGCATTTGCAAGATCCTTGAAGGTGAAGGAAACCACACAGTCAGCAACTCCCCCATCCATAGACTGGTTTTTCCTGTGCTCTATGACTCAAGAAAAAAGAATTAAGAAGCATTTTTAAAATAAGAAATACGAAAAATAAATTAATCGTTAGGTTTCATCATACCCAATGATTCAGCATGACCATTTCTGCTATCGTCGATCCTTCTGCTCGTCTCTCTCCGGCATGGATGGCAACAAGAAAACAAACAGCCCATCCGGTATCTTCGCTAACCAAAATAAAACTGCTCAGTCGGAGTCAGTTAAACCTAATTCTCCATCATAATTTGGATTTAGATCTAAGAAAAATCTCCCCAGATGCCCCAGTCCATTATCGGAGAATTAGACTGTACACCACTGTTCTGGCTCGCAAAAATCACACTGCAGAACAGTCTAAGGATTACCAGATTGCCTCGATTGAGATCATAACCACATCCCAGTGGCTGTTTAGTAGCAGGATTTGAGCAGGACGTAGCCTAAATCCTGCCAAACAGCAAAAATAACAACTTAAAATCCTACAGAATCTTGCATCCCGTTTCTCACCCGTTAAATCTTAAATCCCGGATTTAGTAAACCCTGACATTGGCCGGATTTAGCTTAATAAAAGGTTTTCAACATCATTGGAGCACAAGTAACAAGCAAAATCAAAACTTAACTCATTCTAACTCATTCAGCCAAAAACAACTTTCAAAACCCTCAAAAACAAAGGGCAGCCATTGCTGAAAATCGCAAACCAGAGACTTTTAAACCCAAGAAACAAGAGGGAGTGGGAATTACGACACGATTGACGCGGCCAAGCGCTAGGAAATGAGAAATCTCACCCCGCAAGGAAGAAAAACCTTCCAAGGGTTCCGGCGGAATCTGCGCCACCCCCTTATTCTCAGTGGACACCAACTTGTTTCTTGGCTGTAAGAGAGAGTCCAGAAGTATACGGTGGGCGCCTACCAGATGCTTGTAATAATGTCGTCGCCAGTCGGTCGCTGCAATTTTTATTACCACCTCGGTTGGTTCGGCGAATTTGGAATTCCGCGGCATGCAAGCATTAAAGGCATTGCTTCCCACACTGGATTTACCTATCTCACATTTATTGGATCATGGCGATCCGGTGTAGGGGTGCCAAAAAACATGAGCGGGTTCTCTAATTTTATCCGAACCTATTGGGGCGGTGGCGGCGGCGTCGGGTGGTGGACGGCGGTGATGGGATGGGCTGTGCTCAAATGAGTTTGATTGTGGCGAAAATAGTTCTGGTTGTGTTAGATTTCACAGCCTATTTATTAAATGGGTCTAATATAAGTTTACAGGTGAATCCATTTTTTACTCAAAATAATCCCTTTAATATTTTTTTTCTTTTTTTATCAAATATGTTAAATTTTATAGTTAATAAGTAAAAAAAAAATTGAACAATACGGGTTAACGGTTCATAATCTTATTGATATTTTTGACTCGTTCATTAAACAGACGGAATCAGGTTAACTAGATTTGGTATGATTACTTTCGAGTAGGACTCAAACCTGACCCGTCAACCTATTTTAACACCCATGACCAGTTGTTAAGAGTGGAAGAAAAAAATTTCGCATCAAATTATTTGATTTATTTTAAGAAAAACAATCTAAATAAATAACTCATCTTAAAGTTAATTTAATGCTCTAAATCCTATTTTTATCAAAAGTTAATTTTAATATCTTGACCCAAAAATTTTCCATTTTGATTTTTTTATGGTTTGGCTTTGTTAGAATTTTTAATCATAATTTGTTTAATTTCATTTTATTAAGTATTTAGTATTCTTTTTTAGATTAAATAATGCAACATTTGTATATTTGATGTGATTCGATCATTACTCGTTGTTATTGCTTCAATCAAAATTTGATGAATTGTTGAAAGGATGAGATTTTTTTTTCTTAAGTTAATCAAAATAAAATAGGAAAAGATGTGCATATGGTGCAATTTTATATAGGAATTGTACCATTGCACATATTAAAAAATCTTGTAGTTCCTCACAAGCACCATCACTTCACCATCATCCAACCAACGACATCGAACCCCCATCGTTGAACCACGACCTGTCTGGAATCATGCGAACAACCTAATGTTGGCGTCAAATAATCGACACCATCATCCAAAAATGAGCATCTAAACATCTTCGCCCAACTTCGACTTTTTGATCATCTTCACTAAATTATGGTTGTCTTACTAGAGTCATTCGTCAGCCATCACCCAACATAATTCTCTAACTTTTATCACATGACACGGTACTCTGACCGTTGTTATCTGACCACACTTTATGTCCATTAATCATGATATTGTATAAACATATTTTTCAATCATGAGAAGATGCAAAAATTATAATTAATGAAAAACACTTGTTTAATTATTTCAACTAGGCTAATCCCCATAGTTTTTCCCTTTTCTGATTTTTCCATGAGAAAGTTTTGATGTCTTTTGTAGCTCCTATGTTATTTATATGTGTTAGATCTCAATATAATGATAAGACGTTAAACTTTTTTTACTATGCTATCAAAAATATTATAACATGCAATAATTATAATATTAAATATATAAATATTTCTTAATTGCATGTTAGAATATTCGTGATAATATAGTAAAAGTTTAATGCATTCAACTTTACAAGAAGACAGAGATTTATATGAGACATCAAATTTTTAACATACAAATGGTTACGAAGACAATAAAAAAGTCGTCCCAAACGAAACTTTAATGTCGGCTAAGTCGAACCAAAGATCACCCGACTTAACACACCGACATGCACCATATGCCACGTGACGTTCAATCGTGCCACGGGTACTTTTCGAATGTTACGTGCGAGTTATGTTGTCCAGGCACAGCTCTCCTTAATTTGTTGGTCGGAATCTTTAATTATCAACTAAGAAACATTAAATTCAAGGCTTACATATGTGATGTTTTTGAGAGTTTATCTAATTTGCCTAAATGTCCTAAAAACAAAGTTTTCTGGTCCAGCGTTAATGGGAGATTTTGTTTTTATCGCTTTGGTTTAAGTGGGTTTTAAATGTTATATTAATATTAAACTGTACGTTGCTGGAAACAATAATAATCACCAGCCTGAGGGAAATCCGGGATTTCATTTTCTGTTAATTATTTTTATTAAATTATGATGTAATTATTTTTTGACAAATCCTTGGACGCATTAAACAACTATTTTAATGTCAATTTGGGATATTTTTTTTTTTCTTTATTTTTTACATCACAATCATAGTTATATACTTATATTTGCTATTATTTTTTTAATATGTTAAAAAAAAATATGCTAGGAAGATGCTATTTATAATAGCATTAAAAAAAATTAATTTTATTACACAAAGCTTTATAATCATTTTTATAGAAAGTTACAATCATCTCAAATAGAAACTTTTATTAGGTCAGGACATCTGACGTAGCTCTACATCCGGATGCCAATAAAATATTGTTACGTGCTCTTACTCTTTACCGCGCGGCCCGACGACCCGGCCCGGACCAGAACTCGCTATTGCTATGTATTAGCTGATTTGTGCAGACCAGGGTATTGTTAGGTATTGCTCGGTAACGAGAAATACCATTATGTCAAGACCAATACCTAGCAATATCGAGCAATACCTCGGTTTTGTTAGGTATTGCTCGGTATTGGTCTTGAAAAAGCGATATTTTTCGTTATTGCCAAGCAATACCTAACAATACCGAGCAATACGTAGCAATATCGGGTTCCGGTCCGGGTCGGGTCGTTGTGCCGTGCGGTAAAGAGTAAGAGCACGTGGCGACATTTTATTGACATCCAGATGTAGATCTACGTCAGGTGTCCTGACCTAATAAAAGTTCCTCAAGTATACTCTTTTAAGCTTTAAGATAATTTTCTTACTGCTTTTTGAAACAACTTTTTAGAATTTTTATACTAAAAATTAATTTAAGAAAGAGTAAGAAAGTTGTCCCAAATGAATTAATCTTCATTTGAAAAAGTTTATGTTTTTTGGTTAATGCTTTTATTTATGGGGGGTGTTAAAAGTCTATTTGGTGGGGCTGTAATTATTTATATAAATAATTATAATTTTGTTGTGTGAAAAATAAATTATTTAAAATTTTTGAGTATTACATATTTTAGTTTTATTAAAAGGTCGTATAAATAATAATTTTTATACATCTAATTAATTATAAAAAACACCACACTATTTAAAGGAAAATCATTAATAAATTATATCTAAATATAAGCATGCTCTTCCTCACACTTAAAAAATTTTCGTTAATCATAATTAATCATTCTAATGCATATCAAAGCTCACATGTGCCCATTAAATAAAATAGCATCACGACTTCATAATCCAAGATTTAAACCATGACACTAAAATAAATCTTCTTCCATAAAAATATTTTTTTTGGACGGTTTTTTGGTTGACTAAGAAAGGAATGCATTATAAAAAGAATGCAATACAAAAAGAAATGTTTCAAAATAATTCGCACGAGTATAAAGTAAATGAGGGTCAATGTTTTTTTTATTTGGTTTGAAGTAAAATGAATATAGTGTAAAATCTAAAGGTGATGGCAGCCAGCTGCGACAGTGGTGGCCGGTGGTGGTGGTGGTGGCGGTGATTAAGTAGACTTGCATGTGGTGTAAACAGTTCTTGCTCAAAATTGAACGAGTTTAATTTATCTTAAAAAATGAACTACAATGATTTGCATTATATTTATTTTATTTAATTTACATTTCTTTTTCATCCAATCTAATATCAATATTTTTAAAAACACTGCATTTGAAACATTTTACCCATATTTTATTTCCAACCAAAAACCCCCTCAGTCTGATAAATTTAAGCAAATCAGCACAACCGGTAAATTTTGAGAGAAATTATTCTGCGCGGATGGTCTGTGCACTGCCTACAGAGTCGCTTAGAATAATTTGCCAAATTTTTAGAATTTGGGCATTCAATCCTGCCGCCTTCGTGGTTTGGGCGAGAGAAGTCCCAGTTTTGTTTTCGATTATGCGATTCTTAAAAAGAGCGTTTTTTACAAGTAGTTGAAGGGAGTGGAAAGAAAGGAGAAGAAGGAGACGAAAATATGTGCATAGCTGCTTGGATTTGGCAGAATCATCCCAAGTATTCGCTTTTTCTTTTGTCCAATAGAGATGAGTACCACGACAGGCAAGGCGATCTACCAAACCCTTAATACGTTTTGATGAATAAGAACTGACACATTTTCACTTTTTTTAACCTAAAAATTCAATATTTGTCATCGGATTGGGATTTGTATGCAGGCCTACACGGCCAGTGGAGTGGTGGGGGGAGGCCGATGATAAGATTTTGGGAGGAAGGGATGAATTAGCTGGTGGAACATGGCTGGGATGTACAAGAAGTGGAAGATTGGCTTTCCTTACTAATTATAGGGAGCCGAACCCTTCCTCTACTGCAAAAAGTAGGGGAGATTTGACCCTTAGATTCTTGCAGGTAATTTTGAATTAGGTTTAGGGTTTAGGGTTTAGATCTTCTTCTGTATATTTAGTTTTAGTTTGCATTGCTGCTAGTATTTTGATGTATCCATGGTATGCTTTTGTTTACGAATCATTTAAAGCTCTTAATTTTATCTTGCTTTGTGCTGCATGGAAATTAGCTGACCAAATATAAATGAAGAATATATTTTTGAATTTGTAACTTGCAATATTTATAACATATTTGTGGAAGAGAACCTCTCCAATTATGTAATAGACACTAAAGACGACTCAAAACTAGGCGGATGTATTGTAAAGTGCATAACTTCTTTTGCAGAAAAAAACTTTGAACTAAATTATCCACTTTTTGACAACATAAACTGTCATTTATATGACAAATGACAATGAATGAAGAAACATCCCCTAAAAAGGTTTCACATTTTCAAACTTTATTACTTTTTTCTAGGCTTGATCTTGTTGTCTTTAATTTGATTGCTTAAAATCTTAGCGTTGATCCCCAATGATCATTTTCCTTATTTGGTTCTGAAAGTTGTTTATTTAGACTGCAAAATTTCCTTATTCTACTTTTGCTTTAGGCATGCAAGGAACTTGGTGTATTTCATGCTTCATGCTTAGATATAATATTTTTTAGGTCTAAAGTGCTTAGATACTTCTGTTTTTAGGCATGCAAGGTTTTCGTTTGAGTAGATCTAAACTGAATATATGGATTATAATTTTAGTTGTAATAGATCTAGTGGAGGGTTTGTGACTTTGGGCGATCAAGTCATTAATAAGAGTACACGTTTTAAATATCTTGAGCCTATTGTTCAGAGTGATGGTGAAATAGATGGGGATATTATCAGCATAATTCAAGTTGGATGGTTGAAGTGGAGAAATGCACTAGGCTTGTTTCGTGAAAGAAAATTTCCCATCAAACTTAAGGGAAAATTCTATAAGATGGTGGTGAGACCTGCAATCCTTAATGGTGCAGAATGTTGGCCATTAAAAGAGGAGCATAAAGCATAATATTAAGTGTTGTAGAGATGAGGATGCTCAGGTGGATGAGTGGCTTTACTCTTAGAGACAGGATACGAAATGAGCATATATGTGAAAATGTTGGAGTAGGGGTGTAAACGAGTCAAGTCGAGTAAAGTAGTGTCTTTATTGAGTTCGGCTCGTCGGTCAGAAAGTCGGCTCGAACTTGAGCTCGAGCTCGACTCGTCGCACTGCAGGTTGGCTCATCGAGCGATTCGATTCTGCACGTAAATCAGAATTCCTGCTTCCTGATTCCAGCAAGCTACGAGACTGTTGAGCGGCCTGTTCGTTCGTTTGCATTTCATTTCGCTCGCCTGAGTTGTCACGGGCTCGAGCTTGACTTGCAAGCTTGGACTGCCTTCAGTAACTCACTTAATTCACCGAAGAAAGAGGAAGAAAGGACATCGACAAAGAGGCATGGTCACGATTCACGGAGTTATGCTCAATTCGAGCCTTTGAGCTTAGCGACATGATGAAGAATCTTAAGAGCTCGGTTTGTTCTCCAAGCAAAAGATGAAGAAGAACATTTTTTTATTGGGGAAGATTAGTTTTTTAAAAATAATTAATGAACAACAGTTAAATGCTTTGAGTTATGCTTTGTTCGTTTTCCAAAAAAAGAGCAGTTGGCAGCTGCATGCTGCATGATACATTAAATGCATTAAATGCTTTAATGTTTTGTATTTTTTTTTACTACATTCATCATCTTTTTTGTTAATAACATACCTTCCCTCACCCAAATCCAGATTTTCTCCCTCCAATCCTGAATCCCGGTCTTCTTCTGCTCAAATCTTATCCAAATCTTGTTTTTTATTAAATATTATTCTCTTTAATTATTAATTTTTTTAATATTAATAATGATTAAGCCGGCTCGCGAGCTCACGAGCCAAGTTTCATCAAGCTCGTGGCTTGATAAGCTCGGCTCACTTACACCCCTAGGTTGGAGTAGCTCCCGTGGAAGATAAAATTAGAGAGAGTCGCCTTAGATGATTTGGTCACATAAAACGGCGGCCTTCCGAGGCCCGGTTAGGAAAGTATATGTATTAGATTTGACTTATGTTAAGAAAGGTAGAGGTAGATCTAAAAATTGGTTAGAAAATATTAGAAATGACCTATTTTTTTTAGATTTAAATGAGAATTTGGCTCTTAACATGACACAATGGAGAAAAAGTATTAATGTAGTTGACTTCACGTAGTGGGATAAAGGCTTGATGTTGTTGTACAGTGCTTTCAGATTTATTGAGATAATTCTAAAGTTTAAGATGGGCTTCATTGATGTTCTATGGGTTCTCTTCTTGCTATTTCATTAGATGTGCTGCCTATCTTGCCTGTGCTTAAGTTGTTTGTTTTTTGTTGTTATAGTTCTCTCACAAACCTACAGTTGGTCTCTAGAACGTCTAAGACTGCCTTTTCTATCTGGGCTCTCTATGTGCTTACTTCTTAATGAATCCAACACTTAATTTCTGCTTTCAACATTTTCATGTATATGTATATATATTTCATCAATATCACCAACCTACCCCTTACTTTTATTATAGTTTTGTTATTCTGTTACTTTCACCATTTTATATTTTTCTCACTTTATTTTGGTTCAATTGAAAATCGCAACTCAACTTAAATTAACCAATAAAAAAAGTGCTGAGGGTGGGTCAAAGTGACAACCATTTCAGCCAAACAATAGATTTGATAACCAAAAGGAATTTAACTCAAAAGAAAGCCTGTATAAACATGTACCAGCAATGTAAATGAGAATTCAAAACCAGTAAACATGGCACAAAACATCGATAGCGGATTATCAAATCAAATAGGCCATTACAAGTCATGTGAAAAATTGCCCCAAGCACCCAAAAAAACTTGTGTGGAGGTATTTTTGCGCTCTGGTCAGAATGAAGAGGACGTCAAAACTGACCAAAGTCAACAACAATTAACCAATAAAGAGAGTCCTTGATTAGCTTGAAACTAGGCAGGTCTGTAGTCAACCAAGCATTATAAATCAAAGAACTCCCTAAGCAAGCCAACAAATGGTAGGGGCCAATAGATCAGTTAGCAACAACAAAGAAAAATACGAACCATCAATAGCTATAACAAAACATCAAATAAATATTTAAACTGAGAGGCCCAAATAGGTGGTGGGGATGTCTTTTTCCTAGTTCCATTCAATTGATACATGCCATTATATATTTTTCTTCTCATTATTTTATGCTCCACTTTGTAAGCAGAGCCACATGAGTCCTTTGGAATATGCAGAGGAGACGGCTAAAGAAGCAACTGAATACAATGGTTTCAATCTAATATTAGCTGATATCCGCTCAAAAGTCATGGTTTATGTTTCTAATAGACCAGAAGGTGAGCCTGCTTCAGTTCAGATTGTTTCTCCAGGTCTTCACGTGCTCTCTAATGCAAAGTTAGACACTCCTTGGCCAAAGGTAAACCACTCAGTTTCTGCAAATCAAAATTCACTAATATTATATTCCTTGTTTATAGTTCTTTTTTCCTTGACATTCATTTTTTCTTATGTTTGGAGATCTTAATAAGTAAAACCTGACAGCACTAGGCCTATTGCCTTTTGGGTTGTTTTTTGTATAATCTTTTATTTTCCTACTAGATTTGTCTCATGGTTTCTTGATGGTTATTATTGTTCAGCTAGAAATATATAATATGGTTTAGTTGCATATGTAAGTAGTAAGTAAATGTTAATCCCTTATGTTATGTATAATTATTATTCCATACGTAGTAATTTGTATTTCAGATGATTATTATAACTACTGATACATGTTGGCCATTAAAAGAGAAGCATAATACTAAGTTAAGTGTTGTAGAGATGAGGATGCTTAGGTGGATGAGTGGCTTTACCCTTAGAGATAGGATATGAAATGAGCATATACGTGAAAATGTTGGAGTAGCTCCAGTGGAAGATAAGATTAGAGAGAACCGCCTTAGATGGTTTGGTCACATTAAATGGAGGCCTTTCGATGACCCGGTTAGGAAAGTTGAGATATTAGATTTTTAGGAGAGTAGAGGTATTAGATTTGACTTATGTTAAGAAAGGTAGATGTAGAGCTAAAAAGACTTGGTTAGAAAATATTTGAAATGACATCTTCTTTATTAGATTTAAATGAGAATTTGACTTTTAAAAGGACAAAATGACGAAAAAGGATTCATGTAGCCGACCCCACGTAGTGGGACAAAGACTTGATGTTGTTGTTGTTGTTGTATTATAACTAATGATGCAATAGTTATATAATCATTTATTCAAATTATGAATTTATGTCCAAATATGTAAATAAATTAATTGATACTACATATAAAGTCAATAAATAATATTTTTTTCATTACTTGAAAATCTTCAATAGCTTTTTAAGCAGAGCTATGGAGGGTTTTGACCTTGGACATGTTTCACAACCGTCCGCGGTCGCTACTGCTAGCTCTGATGTCAGATCAATTGACCACTTGTTCTTAATTACTTAAAAAGTTCTAAGGAAATGAACCAACCATGATTTCTTCTGTTAACATTTCCCACTTCTTATAACTTTAAATTCCAGCAAACCTTCACAACACTAATTGAAGCATTACTCTACATGTTTCTTCAGCCCATGCTATGTGAAACCTCTGATAGTAACCATTCTGCACAATAGTTTTAAAACTATTCAAGAAGCAACTACATAAAACAATCATTTTTATCTTTTTAAGTACTTTATTTAATTCTGGAGATTCTTTGTAGGCCCTGCGGCTCCATGAGAACTTTAACAAACTTCTAAGGAGATATGGTAATGAAGAAATCCCAGAGAAGGAAGTATTTGTGAACCTTATGAGTGACAGTGTTAAAGCTGATTTAAATAGATTGCCTAATACTGGCTGTGAGCCTGAGTGGGAGTTCAATTTGAGTTCGACCTTTGTTGATATTGAGAGCAAAAGGGTAACTCAAATTTCTCTCTCCACTCTTATGAGTCGACTTGAACGGGCATTATCTTAACACTTCTCATTTTTTGCCACCAAAGGGTCGGTATGGAACTCGAAGCATGGCTGCGCTATCTGTGGTATCAAATGGGGAGGTAAGCTTCTATGAGAGATACTTGGATGTAAATGATGGAGAATGGAGGGAACACACCTTCGAGTTTCAGATGGACGATTTGAAGCAAAAGGAAGACTAGGATTTTTGTCGGAAGACCAAGTGACGATGAGAAATTATTAGGTTCGAACACCGGACAAAGAGAATCATCCGGATTTTTCTGTCTACAGTAAAAACACAGTCAAAGTGCAACTGCTATAGTAACTGCGATTTGACTGCACTTTTACTGTAGACAGAGAGAAATTCAGATGATTCTTTTTGTTCGATGTCCGAACCTAATAATTTGCCAATAACGAGGCCTTTTGTGATATCCTGTACATTTCTCCTAAGTTGAAGTCATTACACTGCTAAGCTACAACCATTTCTCGAGTTTAGTAGGAGAAGCTTCTTCTAAGTTTTCTTTTACTGTTCTTCAAATTGATATATAACACTGATTACGGCTTTGTTTGAAACGGCTTTCTTACTGTTTTTTAAAACAGTTTTTTAGTACAAAAATTTTTGTACTAAAAAAACTGCCTCAGAAAACAATAAGAAAGCCGTCCTAAACGAAGCCTATGTTGCCTTAGCTTCTCCTTCTTTGTAGTTTTATTTAATATAATTCTTACACAGTTGTAAAGAAGTTATGGTTGGTTATTTTTTTCATTAAATTATCCTTTTTGTTCCGAAGTTTACACTTATATTCAGAGCTTGTTCTCATACATATGGCTACTGTTTGGATCTCGCTAAGCACTTTAGGATTTGATTATGAATCTGCAGCCGATGGTTTAAGATTTTTAATCCTTTATGTGATTCCATTTCACACCAGGACAAGCATGAAATGTCTTAACAATCAAAGAGGGTACAAGTAAGTAAGCTTTCTGAAGTCTTTAATGGCTGGTGCTATGTGTTAATTTAATTGACACTGATCTTGATAAGGACTTTTAGGTGGTCTGGCATTTAGCTTAAAATATTATAGCTATGTCTGGTTTGTAAAATTGCTGGAAAATATTTGATAGATTGGGTTGCCATTACTGCTGCTGCGTGGACTTCAAGTTGGTGAAAATCTCGGTGTTTATTTTCATTAGAGGCATCACATCAAGCAATTATCTTTTTATAATTTGTTTATTTTGATTACTTGATTTATTTTATTTCATAAGTTTTCTGTAATTAAAATATATCTAAGATGATGATCTGGAGAGATATGTACTCTTATTTACTAGCATTATGTTGCATTAGTTTGGATTAAATCCACAGTTGGTTCTTATTTTCTCAAGGGATGAAATTAGACATTACAAGGTTGTGCTCAGCTGGAGGGTGTTGACGTTGTTTTTCACTTAACTACTTGGGTCAAGGAGTTGACTTGGTCAAACTAATCAAGTCAGACCCCAAGGCCACTTCCCTTAAGTACAATGGGTCAAACCAAATTTGTTGAGCCTAAACCCAGGCCCTTGATCAACCTGGTTGACCAGGTCAACCAGGTTGATCCAAATTGACCCAAATGCTTTCTTTTGATTTCAAATCAATTCCACTTCATCTCAAGCTCAAACCTCTTTTCCCTTGGACTCAGTAGGTCAAGCCCAACCTATTGGACCCAAACTCATGCCTTGGGTCAACCTGGTTGATAAGGTCAACCCAGGTTGACCCATTATGCCCTATTGGGTCAAATTAGCTCTAATTCAATGCAAGGCCATCTTAGGTTCAAACCCCTCACCCATTTCGGTCTACTTGACCAAGTTGACCAAGTCAACCTTTGACTTGGTCAACCCAAGTCTTAATGGGTCAATTTGACCTATTTAGGTTAATTTAAATCCATTCAATGCATTAAAATCTTTCTAAATCCCTAGGGGAGCAAAATCTCATTCTAATTATCTCCCCTCCCTCCTAATTAGCTCTAGATCTAATCATAACCATCAATGATAGGCTTGGGAATATAAATATGTTAATTAGGGTTGATATTAGGGATGTTTGCTTTTGTTCTTTCTCCAAATCTCCTTAACGTGAGATTTTTAATTATGGGTTATATTAGGGTTGATGTTAGAGATGTTAAAATTAAAAGAGCATGGCCAAGTGTGATTGTCATTGTGTACCTTGCTCTTCATATACATAATGCTTGGGATTTTCTATTTTTAACTGCTTAGGATAACCTTACAGGAGAGCCTAGTTTTTTTTAATGATATAATTTGATGTAAAGTATCAAATTATGAAAGTCTTAAAAAATGAGGCATTTCAAACACTAGGCACCCAAAGGGAGTAAGAAAGACCCCTCACAGGAAGTTTCTTTCTCATTTGGGTACTATTCTGAAGGACGAGCTCTACAAAGACAATTCGAAGGAAATTGATCTGGAGGAAGATGATCCACTCGAAGATAGAGACTTAAAGATGAAAATGCCTTACTTTTAAGACTTATGTCATTCAATTGGATTAGAATCCAGATTATTATAAAATCATTTTCATACATAAAAAAATAATATTTTTATATATTCTTTATTTATTATTTAATTACTTTTATTATTTAATTATTATTTAAATGTATAATATATTAATTATTTTTAAATTAAAAATTATTTTTGAAATTATTTTGAAGCCTTGATCGGGTGACAAGTGGATCTCCCATGAGTATGAACATGAAATTATTTTTTAATTATTCTATTTTTAAACTTATATGTTTATCTATTAATATATATGTGTATTTTAAATTACATATATGTTCATTTCTTAATTTTGGGAGAATCACTTTGTGAAATTTTAAATATTGATCATGCATATGAATAGAAATCATGGGGAGAAGATTAGTGGATGATTGAGCTCCAATCATTCACTAATCACATCGTTAAGTATGCTTAATCATTATTTTATCACATTTTGCATGTGCACTTAGCTTAGACCATCCTAGATATTAGGATTTAGTGTGTTTTATTTTACTGCATGCCCTTCATGTTACCCCATAGGTTAGTCATTAACATTGAATTCAAACCTACTTAATTTATCGACATTTTAAGGATAAAAATTAATGACCCGTTTAGCGAACTTAGAAACATTCTACGAGCTAGGGTAGATCTCTGATTGATATGAAACTTTACACACTTAAACTTAGTGGTATCTTAAATCTCTTATAATTTTATAGAAATTTTTAGGATCATATAAATCACTTAATTAACAAATCCTAATTTTCCCCTTAATTAAGCCCTGATAACTTCAAAAAAATTCTAATAAATTCATTTTAAATCAGAAAATTACTCATAATATCTCAAACTCTTCAGAATTTAAAACACTCTTAATTGAACTTCAATCTAAGCCTTAATTTAATTTTGAAAACACATAAACTCCACTCAAGCTGATGTAACGGGTGGGAGAAATCCCGTGATATAGATCAGGTCATGCATATTATCACCCATCAAGGTGCGATGGCGAGAGCCGCTATCCTCAATGGTTAGTCGTATGTATGATCTAATCTGCCATCCCATTGGCCGACTTGCGAAGAACGCGGAGGCCTGCAATCATCTCATCCATTGGGATGGAGCGATCGTATACCCTTCACATTCTATTCACTCGCTGGGTGGTGTCCTTTCGAAAGTCCACAAAGGGTGATTTGCCTTTTTGGGTATTTGGACTTCTCACTTTATGGTTTGTTTACTACTGTGAGTTAATTTATGTTTGTTACTGTGATATATTGTGCTTGGATCGGCCGGTCCAAGTTATTCGTGTGACCTATGCAATGCTTGAACTGATCTTTGCACAAGGTTGAGCCAAGTCGAAGCCTATGCCTTACGTTTGAACCAAGAGGACCTCCTCTCTTTCGCTCGTGAATAGGTCAAGCGGCCCCCAGCTGCGATTATACTCCCTCCAATCACGATAATCACACTATTTCTATGTCTTTTTTAAATCTTCCTAGCCTTGTAACCTTCCTCTCACCAATTAAATCCACCAGAAAACATAGAACGTCTCATCTTTCCTCCACCCGTCTAACAAACTTCTGTAATAACTCGTATTTTGACTCAGGTAAATTAAATCTTTAAGTCAATATAACTCCAAATTGCAAACTTTCTTCACCATATCATTGCTATTATATTATTTTACTTGCTCGATTTTTTTCATAATTTTTAGGCATAAGTAAAAATTCTTAAGAAATTGATATCTATCAGTGCAATTGAGGATTTTAGGACTGTTAATTGTCCGTTTTGTAAACTAATTTCACCATTATTTTTTAAATAATATGATTTATTTTATAGATAATTTTTTAAAATCCCAAATTGATTTATATAAATTTTCTATTAAAATTTGAATAAATTAAATATTTATTTAAATATTTTATTAAAAATGTCTAAAGTCACTTAATAACTTCATTAAATCTTTTTTTCTCTTCTTGATTTCGGCAACAAAGATTTCATTTAAGATATTAAGAGAGAGAGAGAGAGAGGAGAGGGAAAAAGACAAATATAGATTTGGAGGCCGTGGAACAATTTTTATCAGTCGAGTCTGTTGGGATATTTACTCGTCTTGCTGTAAGAAATATTTACCCTATTTCTGATTTTCAAAGATGTTATATTTTTGGTGTTTTTTTGATCTAATTTGTGTTTCCGTTATAAAAAAACAAGAATACTTTTGTATTGGTAAACTTTCACCATATGCTTTTTATATATTATAGAAATTGTGATTATAAACATTTTTAGTAGTTATTTGAGATTTTTTACCAGATGATTTTGAAAATATAGCGATTTTTTGCCTACTCAAAAATTTATTTTAACGTTTAAAAATAGTGATTTAGTTCAACTAAAGCTTCATAATATTATTTTATGTAATATATTGTAATTTGGTTAAATTTTAAAAATGTAAATTTTTGCTCAGTAAGATTTTTGTTATATACAATTAAAACATTTTAAATATTTTCTGAATTATTTTCAATTATGCATCATTTGTTGCAATATATTAGAAAAAAAATGTGGATATGATATTGAGATTATGTTAAAGTGCTATGATAAATGTGTATGTAAAAGACAAGTCAGGACTGATTGACCAGTTGGTTGCAGACTGGTTTTCATGTACTGGATGGTGGCCAGACGAGCTTTCTTTTAAAAACTATGATTTGGCGTTATCATCTACTGATTCCCGTGATACTGATTGAGAGTTATAAGGAGATGATTACTACACTATCGGGCAAATAGTGATGTTTCTATTTACTGAGTCAGCATTTTACTGATAATAATACAATTCAGAAAAATACAGTGATAGCCATGACTTCTTACTTATTTAGTGTGACTACTAAAATGCATGTTCTTGATACATTGTTTTTATTATCGGATGGATTTATTGTTACGACACAGATTTATTGGTATTGCATTATTTTATTGCTCCTGCCACTAGATTATTATTACCGATTTAGATATTGATACTATTGATTTATTTATTGATGAAGCATGAGATATACTGAGCACGTGATCTAAAATACTTGGATAATATGAGTACACACTCTTTTATGATTTTATTATATTAACATGATTTCAATAGTCTTTACCAATATTTTTATTTAATATATTATACGATTTATATAGTGATTGGTATTATGAATATGACGATTACTTTACGGATTTGACACTCGTAATGATTTACTAATTTATTGTTTTTCTTATTGTAATGTTTTACTCTTTATAGATTCTATTACTAATGCATATGAATTTTATTATTTCTGTACATA